ACTTTTTAAATCAATTCTCTTTCCAATTTTTGTAATAAATTTTAAAAAATATGTGGCTATTGTTACTAATTCATCCCATTTGTTTCTAACTTTTAAATTAATTTCTCCCATTAAAACACAAGCCATTAATTTATCTAATTCATTTTCATCTTGACTTTCTTCCTCAGCTTTCATTTCTATAGGAGGCCATTGGTTCATATCCTTCAAAAAGCTTGGGCCCTCCCACCAAAGTTTATTATTTTTTAATTCTTCCATGGTGCAACCCCGGGTTCCCAAATCGGCCGGGTTATTTTGAGTTGGAACATATCTCCATATAATTTCTTTTTGGCCCCTAATTTCTTCCAATCTTCGCCTTACAAATTTTGGCAATTTTTCTAATTTGCTCGAAATTATCCAATAGAGAATGCATTTACTATCTGACCAAACATACACATTTTTGAAAGGAGTTTTTATTTGATTCTTTATATATTCCACTAGTCTCTTACCCGCAACTGCTGCTAAAAGTTCAAGTCTAGGTATGGTCAAATTATTTTTTAACGGTGAAAGTCGATTTTTTGCTAAAATTATTTTTATATTTTCTCCACATTTCAAATAGGCTGCGGCGCAATAAGCATCCTTTGACGCATCCACAAAAATATGTATTTCGATTTCTTCTTCCGGTGAAAATGTTTCTCTTTTTATTTTTAAACTCATATTTTCTTCATTATTTTGTTGCATTAATTCATTCCATTTTTTATTTAATTCAGGACTAAGTTTCTCATCCCAATCGATGTCATTTTTCCAAATTTCCTGCATTATTAATTTTCTGGGGAGAGAGACTGGTATTAAATAGCCTAATGGGTCAAATGTCTTTGCTAGTTGTTTTAACACCTTTCTCTTGGTCCAAATCATATTTTCATTTATTAAATTTTCATTTTTACTTAATTCTAAAAAGATCTCATCCTCCTGTAAATTCCAATTAATCCCCAAAACCTTAATTATTTTCTTTTCGTGCTGTTCGGAAAATGCTTTATTTATTTTTAAATCGTTAGAGAAAAATTCATGTAAATTCATTTTAATTTGGGCAAATATTTCTTTGGATTGTTCGCATTTGTCCCTTAATTCTTGTGTTGAATTGGCAAAAAGAAATATATTATCTGCGTACATTCCCCCATTTTTTAATTCTAAAGAGAGCTTAGTATTTGTTTTTTCTAAATGATCATTAATAGAGGCCGTCATAAGAAAAGGTGCACTTATAACACCGAATGCCATTCTTTTAAATCTTAATTTTATCACATTACTTTCCACTACTTCTCCCTCTATATCTTTTAGCCAAAAACACCGGGTCAGATCTCTTTGATTTTCCGCAATCGCAATTTGATGGAACGCCTTTTGAACATCAGCTATAGCTACAATTTTACTCATTCTAAAACGCATTAGGCATCCGACTAATTCAGGTAATAACACGGGTCCTCTGTAAAGTAGATCATTTAAAGAATTGCTTCCTTTTGTTTTAAAACTAGCATTAAAAACTATTCTTAATTTATCCTTTTCTTTATTATACACTGGATGGTGAGGAATGTACAATGTAGAATTTTCTTTACCGTCATTATCAATAATTTCTAAAATTCCCTCATTAATTTGTGTCATAATCATTTCATTGTATTTATTTAATCTTTTTGTTTCCATTAACTTTTTATGCACGGACTTTAGTACTGAAATGGCTCCCCAAAAGTTATTTTTTATTTTTACATTTTCATCCTTTAATGGCCAGCTCACTACATATCGGCCATCTGAGTCTCGTGTACATGTTTTTTGAAAGTGTTCCATGGCTACTTTGTCGTCATTCTGTACTGGATTTTCGTGGATACCTATGCCTTCAAGTTCCCAGTATTTATGGAATTCCTTTTGTTCATTTTCTTTAGAAAGCGCTCCAATTACTTTTTGCATTTTTTCATCAATTAATTTTCCAGGTCCGGATAAAATTTTTCCCAATTTTGTATTAAATATTCCAAAGCCTGCTTCAGTATTTTCAGCCAAAAAGATTTTTCCAAAGTAGTCAGAGCCTAATAAAATACCTGGTTTTTCAACAAAAAGAGAGTTTTTCGGAACGTATTTTTTACTTATTGCTTCTTCAATGGCCCTTTTTGTTTGAATGCACATTCTTGTGGTAACATTATCTGCCCCTCTTACAAAAATTCTCATTATTTCTCCATCTAGGCAATGTAGGTCTACCGGGTAAATAGGCATGGTTCTGTTTACTTTACATCCAAATATACCATTTCCTCTAAAAATTTGTGTCTTAACCGGAATTAGTCCTAAATTTTCTGCTATCTCATTTTCTATTAACGAAATGTGACACCCAGAATCTAAGAAGATTGGAATGTTTTCATACCTTTCAGGATGCGAGGGGTGACTTATTATTGCTTGTGTGGTTGGAAGCATTATTTCTAGTGTTTTATCAAAATCTGGCTCTATTAGGCTATTAAACTGTTTATTTTCAATTCCTTCTTCTTTGGTCTCTTTTTCTATTCCAACGCACACTTGTTTATTTATTTCGGTTTTAGCTGAATTGTATTTCTGTGTGTATTGATTGGGGACATTTCTTTTGACTATATTATTTTTATTTATTTTCTGACAAAATGCTGTGTTATGGCCGGGCTTTTTACAGAAAAAACAATTTATTTTTGCCCTACAATTTTTTGAAAGATGTCCCGATTCTAAGCATTTAAAACAAATTCCTAATTCGTGACATTTTTCGGCCCTTTGTTCTTTTGTTGAAAATTTTTCGCATCTTGATTCCCAATGAGCCTCAGAACAAAATATACATTTTTTCTTAGTTTCTTTTTCTTGGAGGGCATACATTACCGAAGAAATTTGTTTTGACCCTGTATTATAATTATTTCGGCTTATATTCGCATTGCCATTACGTTGAAATCGGCCTGAATTTATTTTTCTATTTTCATTAAAACGCCCTTTTAAATTCTCATCTATCTCATCTAAGTCTTTTTGGGCCAAATATACGTGCTGTTCTAATTGAATCATTTCATCTAAAAATTTTAACATAGCCTCAACTTTCCATTCAGGATCGGCCCTAGTTCTTTTTACTATCTCTTTTAAAATCCATTTAGGCATTTTTCTTTGTATTAATTGTTTTATTTGTTCGTGCTCAATATCTTCCCCTAATTGCTTAAGTTGCCTAAGGATACACTCAATTTTTCTTAAAGTATTTTTTACCTCGGGGACGTATTTGCTGCTTCTCGGGATTTTTATTAATGCCCCGTGTAACGCACTTTTTGTTATATTTTTATTACCGTAATGGTCCTTTAAAACCTCTAAAACTAATCTATAATTGAGTGCCGTAATCGCGTAGCCCTGAACTAATTCCTCAGCTTCCCCTCTCAGTGCTTTTCGTAAATAGGAATGTTTCATCTTATCCGAAATTTGTTTTTCATCTATCATACTCATGAAATCTTCATAAAATGCCTCCCAGTTACTTATATCCCCATTAAATTTTGGCAATTCGAGAGTAGGTAAATTTGACTCAACCATTGTTTGATTTAGATTTCCCTGATTCCTTATAGTAATGTTCGCATTTTCGGATGGACAAAAATCATTTAAAATTCTTAAGTTTTCCCTTAGATGTATTAATCGTTCCCGGGCTCTTTCCATTAAAATCATATGGCCTTCTGGACCTTCCGAAAATTCCGTAAAATTTCTAGCTGCTCTTTGATATTGCTCGTCTTCCATATCACCTAACCAATTCATCCAAATTTTATTTTGGCCCTCTAACTCATTTACCGAACAACTTATTTTTTCTATATGTGTAATTATCATTTCTTTTAAAAGATTACATTGCCTGCGACGTTCAGCGCCTTGCAAATTCCCATCTAGGCTGAAATCCTCTTGTTCCACCTCTCCCACGTAGCGGCGCAAACGTTCCTTGATGGGGCGGATAGAAGCTTGAATAACTGCTGCCATTGTTGTAATTTAATCGCGGTGGAATATAATATTGTGCTGAAGGTCCTGGTTGTTGTTGTAAATAATTCTGCTGTTGCGGAATTTGTGGAAAATGTTCTTGAAAATGTTGTATTTGCTGTGGCTGCGGTGGCACTTGTATCACAATTTGTGGTTGCTGCTGTTGTTGTCGTAAATTTCTAAAATTACCACGACCACGCCCACGAAACGTATTAGAAAAATTTCTACTCTGTGGATATCTATCGAAATTAATTTGTCTACCACTATGTAAATAAAACGACCTGTTTCTTTGATAATTTGGCCGATATCTTTCAGAATTTTCTCTATTTCTTCTTAAAGGGCTTCTTCTTCTAATCGGGCTACGCTCTCGTCGATTAGGCAGTTTGAATTATTTTTACCCTTTCGGGTTCGCAATTATTCGCAGGTTCGATTTAGCGGCACCAATTGTCGAAATTAATAAATTTCGACTTAAAATAAATTCGAAAAGACGTAAAATTTTAATATTTATTCTCAAAGTTTAAAAGTTTTAATAATTTTTTTGGGGGAAGATTTTTATTCTTAAAATTAAAAGTGAAGAGGAAAAAGATATTTTTGGGGCATTAGAATTTGCTTTTAAAGAAGGGTGAAAACAAGAATTGTTTTAAAAGTATGATTAAGTTGGAATATCAAAAATATGAATTATTTGGGAAGAAACATGAAAAGAATCATCGGAAAGATTATGAAATAATAATAAAAATAGAAATTGGAATTTTGTTAAAAAATATTAAAAATATAATATTATGAAACATCATTAAGTCGGGCCAGTCCCGACACTATAGAAACAGCACTAATTGACGTTTTGCCTCCACATTTTACAAAAAATGGAATTTTAAATTGGTCTAAATTAGCTAAGGAACGCTTAAAAAGAAGAAAAACACCAAAATGTATTTTGATTATTTTCTAATTTGTGATTTAATTATAAGACAAGGGTAATTTTGGAAAGGGTTAGGTTATGGGACAACGGCGGTGCCAGGTATGGGCTTCTGGGGCTATAGCCCCCTGAAATGGCGAAAACGAAAAAAATTTTAGAGGAAAATGACCAGAAAAGTGAATTTTTTACGCTTACACGCCACAAAATTTTATCATTTTAAAATCGACCTCTTGGCTACGCCCTTGTTAAGAGAGCTAAAATGAACTTGTTTTACGTAACTTGATAAAAAGTAACTGCTTTGGGTTAGATAATTTTTTAAATAAAATTTTTTTTATTTTTAGGCGACTTCCATAATGATTGGAATTCATTATTAGAAATTTTTGAGAAAATTGATGAGGAGATTGAAGTTGATACTGATGGAATTTTGCTTCGTAATTTGTCCAAAAAAACGGTTTTTTTTAATTTTTAAACTTTAATTTAAAATAAATAAATTTAGATTACACAAATTATTTCTTCCGTTCCTTTCAAACAATTGGCCAATTCTCCCCCAAAAACAATTCGTGCCTCTTTAAAACTTTTATATTTACTTGCTTCTCAACAACATAAAGTTGAATTACCTTTTACAATTGATTTAATTAATTTAATGGAGGCAGAACCAGAACCAAAAATTTATTCTATAAAAATTGTGGAAAGAATATTGAAGGTTTGAATTTATTTTTTTAAATGTTGGGTAGTGAGATTTTTTTTATTTTTGAAAATTGTCTTATGTGGGAAAGTGAATTTTTATTCGAAAAAGCGAGAAAATTTATTTTACCATGTTGTATTTAAATGAAATTTTATTTTTTTTCTGTCAATAAGAAAGTAAATTATTTTTACTTTCAAATATATTTCAACTTTTTCCTCCTTATTTACCTCTCGTTTTTAGAAAATTAGATTTTCATTAGTGTTTAACCATCTATTTAATATAGTGCTTACTTGCGACAGTTGCTAGGTGACTTGTTGCCGGAGACAGTCGTTGCGTCGTGCTTACAACTAGAGTTTTTTCGCATTGCGACAGTTGCTTTAGCGAAAGACTTTATTTTATGTAAGCACAAAAATCGTCTTGCGATTCTTATGTACGCGTAACATAACATTAATATGGATATTTTAGTCATTTTATTTAAAAGAAATTATTTGTTTTATTATGATTTTTAAAATTAATTCTTTTTTCGAAAAATTTTTTAAATTTAGTTTCACACTCGTCAACCAGAAATGTTAGCAGATTTACGTGATTTAAGTGCTCTCTGTTTTGCTATGTTTCGTCCTTTAGACCAGCCATGGACCGAACACATTAGTGAACCAATTAAAAGGAAATATTTATTGGCTGAATTGAGCTTCTTAAGAACTTTTTTAGTCTCTGTGCCTATTTTATTGAATTCATTTTCTCCAGTGATTACACAATTGTTGCCAGAGTTCTTTATTCAGGTGATTTATTCTATTTAGATTTTAATGAATATGTATCATTGTTCCAAGGTTTGAAACAATGAGAAACAGTTTAGAAATTTCTGTGTCCTAATTTCCCCGGATGGTTTGATCTGGGTACACCTCGTTTCAGTCCGGGCTCAGTTCAGTCGCGCCCTATAACTTTTGAAGGAGCTGATAATTTTTGATGTTCTTAGTATCATTTGATAAAGCATTAAGTAAGCTACAATATACCAGAAAATCGAAATTCTTGACTAACTGATATGAAAGTTATCTTCGAAAAAGTGCCAAAAATGACGTTTTTTTGAAAAAGTTGGTATATTATAACCTTTTTATCTATCGGACAAAAATTCTGATTTTTTGATATTTTGTAGAGCTTTCGATTCTCTATTCAATGTTACAAGAACTTCAAAAAATGACCATTCCTTGATGAGTTATAGGGTCTAGACTGAACCGAGGTGCTCCGCTTTGATCTATGGGGTAATGAAACCTTTATTTCCATTTTCAAATCTTATCCACTCAAATTCAATTTTTAATTATTTAAGAGTAGCAATTATCGTCGCAAACAAGCACTAAATAGCAACGAAATATCCTCTCCACGTGACATTAATTATTTAGCTGAAAATTTATTTCCTGACAGATTAGAACACTCATTAAGTTGTGTTTGTCGGGAATTAGTCAAAAATAAAGAAAAATTTCATCGTTTACTTTCATTTGTTGTTGCATCCTCTTTGGTAGATGAAAGAAGAATACGTTATCCAACTTATCTAATTATGACAGCATTGGATGAAAAAGACATTGCTTTGTTAAGCACAAATATGCCGACTTGGGAAAAACGAAAATTTTCAACTTTACATTCACAATTTTTTGAATGTAATAAAATTATTGGATAAAACTTGTTGTTTTTGTTAGAATTATTTTAAAGCATATAGCGATTTAATTCCTAAGGCTGTGCAGTATGCGGCGTGGTGTAATGGCTAACACATCAATCCGGTCTACTGGAGAGCTGGTTCACTCCCAGCGGCCGAATAACTTTTTGCACTAGCTGAAGGAGAGAAATGGCTATAGCTCTGCTTTACTTTATGTACTTGACATAAATTTATTTAAAACAAAAAAAAGAACAAATTTAACAACAACAAGTACTATATATCTTCTCCTATCAATTTATCTCTTAATATTCCTTCCCTCTATTTCTTTTTAGACTGGCGGGTATGGCGCTTGAACATATTGTGGTGGATTTTCAACGCTAAAAATTATTTTTTAGAATTTATTTGTTTATTTTCATTTTACCTTTGCTCATTTCCCGTCCATTGATACTGAGCTGCAACAACTGGATAGACTAAATATATTAAAATTTTAATGAGAATATTCTCTATTAAATTTAAAAACTAACCAATATATGGCTGAACATAAGCATATTGCTGACGCTGAAGTTCCTGATACTGACGTTCCCGTTGCTTTCGAAGATTGTATTGCATAAATTGCATACGTCGAATGCGTTCGAATTCAGCCCTCTCATTTTGATAGTTCATTACTTGGTAGATAACACAACAGAAGCTGACGATGATCGACACAATGAAGAGCATCATAATTATGGCAGCATTGGCATTAGCTTCTCGGACGTCTCGGTCTTGATCGTAGTGATGTTCGTAATCTGATTCGTAGACCATATTTTTGCTGAATACAGATAGTTTTAACATAGAAAACTGCTCTGCTTTTATACAAATCCAACTTGCAAATATATGTGATATTAATTTCCTATGCTTATTTATTGCCAACGTAATTGAAAATAATTTTAAAATCTTTGAATCGAAAGTCGGATGAAAAATAACTAGAGTTCAGCGGTATCGGGATTTCGAGAAAAACCCGGGATCGGGATTTAGGAATGGTGATCCCGATCCCGATCCCGGATCCCGACACGGGATCGGGATTAGCCGAAATCGGGATCGGGATTTGGACTGGAGATCCCGATCCCGAATCGGGACCGGGATTAGAAAATCGGGATCGGGATTTACTAAAAAAATTTTTTAATTTTTAAATTTTTATTTTCTTCTCATAGACGCATAATTTACTTTACGGTTCAGGGGATTAAGGGGTCATAAGGTAATGGGGGGAATAAATGGGATTGGGCTTCTTCTATTTTAAGCGCCGTAGGCAAAAATTTTGAAAAAGTTGGAAGGCCAACGTGCCAGATTTCCCCCCTTTTAAGCGCCGCATGCCATATTTTTAATTTTGGAAGGCCAAGGGGGATTTTGGAAGGCCAAGGGGGGCCTTCCAAAATAATGCAGCCCCACCTAAAAATATTGGAGGAAAAATATATCCCAATAATTTTTTAGATGTATTAAGAGAGTTGAAGAAATAAAGTGGGATATCGATGATATTGTGATCATGGAGGAGGAGGGATCATGGGAATATAGGGATGAAATTCATGTAGTAATATTCATGTAGTAATATTTCTTAAGCCCTCGATTTCTCTTCAAATCTAACTTAATCCTTTTAAATTCACCGATATCCCTCTATACTCCAAATCCACCGATACTCCCCTCAACCCTTCTTGATCCCCCGATATCACACCAAATCACTCAATATTTCGTTAAAGTTGTAATGAAGCTTTGTTCATTTTTACGGCGCCGCAGGCTAAAATTTTGAGAATTTTGGATGGCAAGATGCCAAATTTCTTCCATTTTCTGCGCCGCAGGCGAAAATTTTTCTTACTTTCATGCCTCCCCTCTTCTGTTAACTTTATTTTGCAGACTTCTAGTCAATTTATAAAGTCGGGATTTTCATCGGGATCTGATGCACATCCCGATCCCGATCCCGGATCCCGGCTCGGGATTGAGATTGGCCGGGATCGGGATCGGGATATATATTTCGGGAGCGGGATCAGAAAAATCGGGATCGGGATTTGAAAAACCCGGGATAATCCCGCCCGATCCCGACCGGGATCCCGATCCCGCTGAACTCTAAAAATAACCTAAATTTTCGGAAATCGGAAGGAAAAAACGGAAAAAACGCGGCCATAATTACAATGTTTCCTCGACAAGTCCGACAGTTTTTGCATGTTTCTAACCCCTAATATTTTTCTATCCTTTCAAATCCACCGATCGCTCCCAGCCGCCTAAATAATAGTGTTTCACCGGAACCGAAATTTTGACCGGAACCGGAACCGGATCCAATTTAAGTTCCGGTTCCCGGAACCGGAACCGGAACTTTTCTAAGTTCCGGCCCGGAACCGGAACCGGAACCGGAACTTTTAAAAAAATTTTGCAGGCAAATTTTAAAAAATTTGTTTTTCAAGTAGTGGTGTCGGTTTCGCCAAATTTTTCTATTAAATTGAGCCAAATTATTCGGTTAATCGAAACCGAGCCGAATAACCTAACCGAAACTTTCGATTAACCGAAAACGAACATAAAAACCAAACCGAACAATCCAAATCCCCTGCTATGCCAAATACCTCACCAACTTCATGATATCCTTTGATCCCCGAATTTCTTCGAATTATCTTTAATCCCACCAGATCCCTAGATATCAAATCACCGATATGCCATTATACATCGGTATCCCCAAATGTCACTCCAAATCTCCATTTATCTTTCTTTTTTAGCGCCGCAGGCGAAAATTTTGCTAATTTAGGAAGATCAAGTGAGAAATTCCAAGTTTTGGAATGCCAAATCCCCAGCTATCCAATCCCTGGTATCTCCTTGCACAGCTCAATCCCTCGACATCACACTTAAATCCCTCTATATTACCTATGACCTCTTGAACTCACATAATGTAACTCAAAATCCATCTTCATCCATCCAAATCCTCCGATATACCAGCCAACTTACAAAAATTTTGGGATTTTAGGTGAACCAAGGATACATATTTCTTCCTTTTTCAGCGCCGCAGGCGAAAATTTTGAAAATTTGTGTGGACAAGGAGCTAGATTTCTTCGTTTTCTGGCGCCGCAGGCGAAAATTTTGGAATTTTGAAAGGCCAACAGGTGAAAATATTGCAAGGCCAACCCATATTTTTTTAAAAAACTAATCGTTAGGGGTGTAAAAAAGTTCCGGTTTGGCCGGAACCGATTTGTAAACCGGAGCCGGAACCGGAACCGGAACCAATTTGAGTTCCGGTTCCCGGAACCGGAACCAAAAAAACACCGGAACTTTCCGGAACCGGAACCGGAACTTCCGGTGAAACTCTACTAAATAACCATTTTCAATATTAGCTAAAGGAGAAATAGCTTATTTTATTCTACAAATTATTAAAAATTATTATTATTTTCTATTTAACACATAAATTAATCCTATCATTATCATCCATATTATCCTAATCATCATCATCCCCACATTCAACATTTTGGGCATTTGGTGGAGGAAGTACAGGCATTGGATGTATATTATTGTTATTATTCTTTAAATTTTGTAAAATAATTTTTAAAATAATATTTTCAAAAAATTTACATTTTTTGCCAAACTTCCAGAAATTACGAGAAGAAAAGCAAAAAGAATAAAGAAAATATTAACGTTCATTTTTAGTTGTTAATTTAAATTAATTTTGGGTATTTTAAATAAATTTGGGAATTAAGTTAAAAATATTTAATTTCAAATAATTTATATATACATCGATTTTTCAGACTGTTTTTTTAAATTTAATAAATAATTAAAAATAAGGATTTTAAGTAACAGGTGAGTTAAGTGCAAATTAAAATATTTGGAAAAATATTTTTAAATATTTTTTTGTTTTTATTTAATTTTAAAAAATATTTAAATTTTCTAGACAATATTATTGAAAATTATATTTTTACATTTTAATTAAATTTCACTAAATTAATAAAACTTTTTATTAAATATTTTTGTTAAAAATATTTATTGTTTTATAGATATTTTTAAAAGTACATTTAAGTAAAGTACATAATAAAATGCGTAGGTTTTCTCCATGAAATTTGAAAATATTAAAAAAAAATATTATTTTAATTTGTTTAAACATCTGTTAATTAATTGGCTTTATAAAGAATTAAATTTTAGTTAATAATTAACACAAACTTAAATTCCTCTTAAATTAATTAATCTAAAAAAAATGAATTGTAAATTTTTCTTAATTTTATTTTCAATTCTTTTAATAATTGCTGGAAGTTTGGCAAAGGTTTTCTTTTAATTTAAAATTAAAAATCCTTTTAATTAATTTAAAGAATAACGACCACCATAAACATCCAAAACACCCAACACACCCTCCACACCCTTCAAAACGTCCACATCCAACACGTAAACATCGTCCAACATTTAAACCTTTTCCATCACCTAAACCAAAGGCTCAAAATGTTGAATGTGGGGATGATGATGAATAAATGAGTTTGAAAAATTAAATTAAAAAAAATAATTTTTTAAGTAGATTAGTTTGTTAAATTAAATAATGATAAAAAGTCATAAAAACAATTGCTTTTACATATGTAACTAAGGTTATAAAAGTGAATGGGCAAGTTTGTATATGTATGCTAGTGCATTAATTTAAGGATAATACACTAAATCTATGCAACAGAGTATAGTGTCGTTTCAGAGATCTCGTACCGAGATCTTGTCCATACTAATTAGATTAAATGGATTGTTGAAAGCTTAGTTATATGATGTATATAAAAATAAAAATTAAGTATTTATATGGATTTTATTTGGAATAAAAAGACTAGGAAAAAAATGGATTTAAAAAATGAAAAATAATTTTCATTTAATTAATAAAAACTTCGGTAATGCCATAACTAGCTGAAGATTTTCTAGCCCATATCATTTTTAGCCAAATCTCTTTAGATTGATGAGGGGAAATGTTTAATACTACATAAATTTGTTAATATTCGGAAATCTTGAAACAAGTTAGGGCTTTGCGTTGTTATAGCCGCGCGTTTTTTTGGGTGTGTCCCGAAAAATATTTATAAATAACCATATTTTAAAATAATTTTTTATTTAACTTTTAACAAATTTCAAAAAATTATTTAAAAAATTATTATAAATAAAAAAATATTTTTAATAATAAATATATACACAAAATGGCAAGAAGAATTCATTTAGTTTTGATTGTGGTGAAATTAAACAAAAAAAAATAATTAAAATAATAAATTGCACTGAAAAAGGCTTGAAAATATTTTTAAAAAATTTTCTAACTAAATAAGGGTGATTTTATAAAATTCAAAAAATATATTTTATAAATATGCCTTGAAATAAGAAAAAAATATTTTTAAAGATTTAATGAAAAAAATTTTTCAAATGATTTATTAATTTGGCAGAATATTGACAGGGATATCTTCCTTCTTTTATTTAAAAAACGAAAATTTGAAGAACCATGAACAATTTTTTAACCTTTTGGAATCGGAAAAAGCATTTTTGATGTCTGACTGGTTACAACCCCTTTTGTCAACATTTTTAAAATTATTTTTAAATAAAAGGAAGATATTTAAAATGAGGAGGGACATGGAAGCGTTGTTACAAATAATAATTTTGTATAAATATTAGCACCAAAAGAAGATCGAAAAAGTATTTTAGAGGTAAATAAAAGTAAAGAAATATAAATAGAAAATGAGGTAAAATAAAATACCGTATATACTGTATTAATTGACCTCTCTTAAATAATTATTCCCATCAGCCAGGGCCCGTAGTATAAGAAGGTGGTTGGTACCCATCGTAGATGGAGTGCCGAGTTGATCACCTAATCAGCAGCCACGTTCTTATACTACGGCCCAGGGGTTGAAACAATAATTACCCAGAGTAATTAATAAGGCAGTATACACGGTAACAAGAAAAACTTTTTTTATTTTTCTGTTTCATCTTTAGATATTTCTATCAAATTAATTTCTTTTCCATCATTTATTTTCTCAATTTCATTTTCAATTAATTCACTAGAATTTTTAATTAATCCATTTTTGTTCATAAAAGGTTTACAATAAGCTATAAAAATTAAATTAAAAAAAATTATTTTTAAAAAATTAATAACCATATCGATGGTTCATATGTTGCGAATAAGAACCAGAATGAGAAAAACGTTTCATACATTTATTACACTTAAAAAAATAAAAGGAAAAATTTATTTTTATTTTTTAAATTTTGTACTTGAAAAGGTTTTTCTCCACTGTGTAAGCGATTATGTTCTGTAAGATGATGTTTATGTTTAAAAGCTTTTTCACAATGTTCACATTTATGAGGTCTTTGGCCTTTAAAAATGAATTTAGATTTTTTTAGATTTTAATAAATACTTGTAAAACTTTTTGCTTAAAGAGAAAAAATTTTACGTAGAAAGACTTGGTCATGAAACCAATACTTTTCTTGGGGTTTCTCGATCTTGGTCGAGAAGGTAAGTCTTGAAATTGGCTTTTTGAAGGATTTTAGAAAATATACCCTTAAGTTGGATAGGATTTAAAAAGTTCGCCTGCGGTGTTGAAAAATGGAATTTACCACGCTATGGCGCGATAAGTTATAAAAATCCGCGTATTTATTTTTTCGATTTTTATCGTTCTTTTATTACTAAGTACTTAAAACCTAACCAGAATGTTCATATTTGTGCCTTGCTAAAGAGCTTTGTTTATTAAAAGTTTTATCACAAATATCACAAATATAAAGTCCAGTAATTTCATCCCTTTGACTATTTTGATGTTCATTTTGATTTAAACGGCGTATCTTTGCAGGTGAGGGGCCAAAAGAATTTTTATTAAAATTTCCATTTTTTGTTGTTTGAATAATTTCTTCAGAAGAATTTTCATTTTTAGTATTGTCAAAATGTTCAGAAATTTGTTGATAAGATTTTTCTTTTTTATCTTCTGGGTGATTTGGAGATGAAGGTTCAGAGAAATGTTGATTTGGATACTAACAAAATATTTTTAGAAATTTACATTTTAATTAAGTAGATTTTTGAGAAGGTAGTAAGGTCCACAGAGATAAGGGTGCAAGTCTGTTCGGTTAAAATTCTCGTTTCCCAAATCGGTTTGGTTCCGTATATCTGAAGATTTTCCAAGAATCGACACCCCCTACTCAATAGCTTTGAGGGTTGGATAGTGCTAAGAATTATAAACAGAAAGAAAGAATGGTGAAAAATTCTAACCACGGCCCAGTCCTAAATTGATTGAGAGAGGAACGAAAATACAAACAACTCCTTTATCTAGCTAGGACTCTCTGATAATATTTAGTAGTTTGTATCCTCCATCTATACTAGATATTTTATCAATTTATATTTAGCACCTCTAATACTCTTTGCCATTCATTTAAAATATTTTTCTGTCCATTTCCAATTATTGAAAGTAAAGTAGATGAAATTGTGGGGGTTGTTTTTCCATTATTTGTGGGCCAAATAGAGGAAGATGATTTTATTGAACAATTATCATTCCCAATAAAATGATTATTTATTATAGGGGAGGAGGATGCAGATCCACTACAACATTGAGAAAAGGAAGAAGAGGAAGGTGAAATATTAGACAAATCACTTCTCGTAGTTGAAAAATAATTTGGTGAAAATGAAGTTGGGGAATAAATATTACTTTCTTTTGGCTCCTTTTTAATTTTTATTTCATTTTGATTACCTGAAAATAAAAGATTAAAGATTAAAAATAATTAATTTTAAATTTTCTTAAAATTTGCCAATGGCTACCGTAATTTCTTGATTAATTCCTTTCCTCGAATAATTCCCCCACTCGATTAATTCCCCATGCTAGAGTTGGTTTGGAACAATAATTCCCCACCCCCAAATACCCTACTGCAAGTTCAAATGGCAAAACTTCGAATAATTCCCCTTCATCTAATAATTCCCCATCGCACGTATAAATAGGTTGAAATATTAATTCCCCAGGAGAATTAATCGAGAAAATACGTAGTCAAATTTAGTTTTAAAATTTTTTAAGAATTAAATCTCCAATTAAATTAACCAACCAAAACTTTTATTATCCAATTCCCCTCCATTTAAACATTTTTTCTTAACTTCATTTCCAAAGCTTAACTTCCTTCGACGGTTATTTTTAATTATTTCTGGTATTTCATCTTTCGTTTCATCTCTTTCAAATTCTTGTTGATTCCCTTCAAAGTCAAAATTGTTATGTTCAAGATCGGGAAGTTCTTCCTTTTTGAAAGATAAATCCAAAGGAGATTCCTCAAAATTAATTTTATTTTTATTTATTATCAAAATTAATATTATTTTTTTATCATAAAATCCCATTTTTTATTTAATAATTATTTAATAATATTCATTTCTTAAAATATCTCTTAAAATTTTTGCTTAATATTCATTTAATTACAAAATAAATTTTTTTTGGAATTTTTTCCTAACAATTCATCAACTTCAATTTTTCAGGATAATGACCGTCCATAGAAAACTACGTTATTACTATCCACATATAAGTAATTCATTCATAGTCACAAAAAAAGGAGGAAAGGTAAAGAAAAAAATAAAATATGTATATTATTATTCTTCGAATGGTCATTTATTATTATTATTTTATAATTTTGTGCAATTCATCTTCACTCTCTCAAAATTATATATTTAAATTTTACAATCCATATTTTTCTATTTATTTTTTTTTTATTGATAGGTAGGGTGAAATTTAAAAATTTTAAAATAATAAAAGATTTTTTGAGGACAAAGAAAAATAAATTTGAAAAAATTAAAAGAAATTATTTTTATGCCATAATTGACTGTATCATTAAACTATAATAAAAGAGTATTGAGTAAATTTAAAGAAATGATAGTTGTAAAAAAGGGATACCGTAAATGCTGAAATAATTACCCTAGGTAATTATTGTTTCAATCTTTCACTGGAGGGGGTAATTATAAGGGAGATGTGCTGGATTTAGGGTATATCTCAATCCAATTGAGGCGAAATTTTTTTATTTCTTGATATTGTGTCTTAGAATGTTCCAATAATTAAATTTGATAATAATTTTTTAAATATTAGGGGGTAATTACTAGAGAAGGTAATTATTTAGCATTTACGGTATATTAAGGATATCTAATATAATATATTTGTTATTTTAAAAAATAAGTAAAGTACTTTAAAAAATGTGTAAGTGTACAAGTCGGTGGTTATTCTTGAAAATTATATCTCCAAAATTGTCTGAATAAAAACAAAAAATAGCAGTTAATATTTTACACAGTTGGAAGTAATTCAAAGATGAAGAGTTGCTATTTAGCAGATGTATAGAATGAAAATAAAAGAAATAGGTAATTGATGAATGAAGAGGGGGAAAACTTGAAAATCTCGAAATCTTTCAAGAAAAAAATAATTTTAAAAATAACATGTTCTCTTTAAATTGTTTAGAGATTATTAAGAATTAAATAAGTGTTAAGTGATTGAAATAATAAAGGAGAATGGAATATAACAAGTAAAGATAATAAGGAATTTTTTAAAAATTAATTTTGAAAAGGTGTTATAAACATAATTAATTAAAAATAGTTAATTTATAAAAAAACATTTACAGATTAAAAGATTTGTATCATGGTTGGGCGATTTCGCATTTTTCACATTTTTTAGCGCGAAAAGTTTCGCATTCCGCATTTCGCTTTTTATTTTTAGATTTCGTCCAGCCCTTACTTAAATCTTAAATGGTAATATTGGAGAAGAAATTACAAGAAAAATCACTGGGAAATAAGGGATAAGCTTATTAGTGAATTATTTACAAAAATATCTTAAAACATTTTTTTAGAATTTTTGTGATTTTTAAAATTTGTAATTATTATTTAAGATTTTAAAGGCTTACCTAATCACATATAAAATAAAAATAGAATTTTTTTGTTCAAATCTAATATTAAAAATTTAAATTTTCCTTTACCTCTTCAATAATTTCTTCTTTCGAATAATTATTATTTTCTTCCTTTAATGTCTTTTTAGCTCCATTAATTACATTATTTACAAGTTTTTGAAGTAAAGCTGGATCGATAGGATTTAATTTAAAATTATTTTTGTTTAATTCTTCTTCCTTATTTAAATCATTTAAATTAGTTATTTTTTGTTTATTTTGTTGTTGTTGTTTAGCTGAAGCATTTCTCATTGCATTTCGACTTAAACGATCACTAATAACACTTAATCTGTTTGCTCTTTTTGCCTTAAATATAAATTTTTTAAAGTAAATCTGTCGTATTTTTTGTAAAAACTAGGAGTTTAAACCAAACATGGACGTGGATAATATCAAGGATACACGCCGTGAATAAGACCCAAAAGTTACACGGATATACCGTAGTTTCTTGATTAATTCCCCTGGGAAATTATTTTTTCAACACTTCCTTGGCATGGGGGATTAATCGAGGGAGGGGAATTATTCGAGTTTTAGCATTTGAACGTGCAGTAGGGTATTTGGCGGTGGGGAATTATTGTTTCAACACAACTCTAGCATGGGGAATTAATCGAGAGGGGGAATTAATCGAGAAAATAAGGTATAAATAGATATCTACCCCGCGGATACCAAAATCCATGTCCTTGGTATGAGTTAAAAAAGCTATCCTCGTTATTCCCCAGTATTTTTTTCGAAATAAAATTCCATCTATCAATAAATAATAGATCTATAAATATCCCCTAACTTCTATAACTAAAAATCTCTCATCACCTTAGCTCTCATATTCTGAAACCAAACTTGCACAACCCTTTTATTAACCCCAATTTTTTCCGCCAAAGAAGACAATTCATATTTACTAGGCAAAGAATTTCTTCTAAATTGTTCAGCAAGAATTCTTAATTGTTGATCAGAAAGAAAAGAACGTGAACGGAGGACAGAACCAGCTGCAGAAGAATGCCTCCATTCATCTAATTCAATAGAATCAACACAAGAATTATTAAATAAATTATTTGTATTTAATTCTGAAATATTATTATTCGATTCTTCATTATTTTCATTTATTCTTTTTGTTTGTTGTTTAATTTCTTTAAATATTGTTGTAGAAGAAGAATGTTTTTCAGACTATAAGAATTAATTTATTGGAGTAACAAGATTTATTTTTTAATGGGAATATTATTTTATAATTTACGTTAGAATTCTTAGAAAAACCCTAGAGTCCTTTGTTTATTTCAAAAATTCAAATCTTCAATATTCTAACAATAAATTAGAGATTGGAACATTAGAAACCAACAACTAAAAATAGCCCCAAAAACCTCAAAAATAATATGTATTTCCTCGTATATCCAAAAAGGTTATCATTGTGTTTATTCACCCCCTCACACACTCACCAAATTAAAAATATTTTTTTAATTAAAATATTAAAGATAGAAAACCCAAATTTTCAATATCCTAACAATAAGTTAAATATTGAAGCATTAAAGACCAAAAACCAAAATAACCCCACAAATAATATATCCTTGTATATCCAAAAAGGTTATCATTGTTTAATCCCCACCTCTTCCACACTCCCCAAATATGTATTTTTAATTTAAATTTTTTACAAAAAATCTTTAATTACATTTTTCTCTTCCCCATTTTTATTTTCAGCAATCCAATTATTCTTTCCAGCCTCATTTTTCACCAAATTTCCATTAAATAGCCATTGTTGTGCAGCCGTTGCCAATTGTTGTTGTAAAATTATTGCTTTAAGTGCATTTGTGGTATCAGGTGTAGAGATTCTTTTTTGGTTAGAAGAAGCTGTTTGCCAAAAATTGTCAAAAAATGATGTTATGTTCTTAGCTAAATTTTAATAAAATTTTATTTATTAAAATTATTCCTTCAGTAAAAATTGACAATAATTATAAACCCAATAGGTTGTTTAATTTATAGGTGTAGAAGATAAAATATATTTTTTAGTAGAAGTAAACTTCTATATTATCATTATAATTATCCTTATTAATTATTATTAGAGTTCGAACTTTTCAAAATGCCGGGCCCGGGACCCGGTTTTTTTTTCTCAAAATCGCACCCGGACCGGGTTTTCCGGATAAAACCGGAAAAACCGGTTAGCCCGGAAAAACCGGATTTTTTCAGACCCGGGCCAGGACCCGGTTTTTTCTAAATTTATTAAAAACAAAAAAAAATTATCACACGTACAAAGGATCGGAAAACATACAAAGGATCGATTAAAGGATAGATGAATCAAAGGATAGATGCGCTTAAGGATATAAAGCAGGGTGTCCGCAAGTGAATATAGCAGGCAATTTTATTTTTAAAATCCGCAGCCGCAATCCGCTGTACGCAAGTCAAAAAAACACACAATTATATGCAATCCGCAATTTTTGAAATAATTGGTAGTCTGGGAAAATAAGGGGATTTGAAGTATTTAGGAAATTTTGAGAATTTTGGAACTCCAAGGGGCCAGATTTCTTCCTTTTTTAACGCCGGTGGCGAAAATTTTGAAAAATTGGATGGCCAAACAACTATATTTTTTACATTTTTTGACTTCGGCAAAAAGACTCCGGGCCCGGCAAAAAATTACCGGGCCCGGGACCCGGTTTTTTTACACAAAATCGTACCCGGGCCGGTTTTTCCGGTTAAAACCGGAAAAACCGGTTAGCCCGGAAAAACCGGATTTTTTCAAAAATACCCGGTTCCGGGCCACCGGGCCCGGAAAAAACCGGTCCGGGCCCGGCCCGGGTTCGAACTCTAATTATTATATTATTATACTTATTAATAATTATATTATTATAATAATAGCAAATATTATTATCATTAACTATTATCATTCATAAGTTTTTTGGGATTTCCAAAAGAATAACTAGAGATTCCATAATTTTAGAAATTCTATACTTATTCTCATATTAATCTCCCTTTTTAACAAAAATTATTATTTACATTGTTTTCCATTTGTACTAACTTGACATTCTTCCTCACTTTTTATTGGTGATTTAATATCCATCTGATCCTTCCCATTAATTGATTCGGATATTCCAGGTTGGATAAAATTATTATAATTTAAAGGTAAACAGCTAGCAGCAGCTAAAGCAGCCGAAAATTGGAAGGGAAATAAGGGGGGTTGTTGGGGATTCTAAATAATTTAAATTAAATTTTTAAATTATTTTTTAAATTACCCAAATATTATTAGGTAATGAATCTATAGAAGAAGAAAATAAATTAGAAGAATTTCCTTGTTTAATTAATTGTTGTTGTTGGGTATAATATAAACGTAATTGTTCTAATAAATAATTATTATTATTAAAAATATTTGAAGAAATTGTCTGCTGTTTATTTCCAAATATTGAAGAAGAATTATTTGGGGAAGAAGAGGAGGAAGAGGAAGCTGTGGAAGAAGAAAAGGAAAAAGAAGAATTTTGTTGTTGATTATTTATTTGTTTATCAGAGTTAACAATAACAGAAGCAGCAGCAAGTTTTTGTTGTTGTTGTTGGCACTTTTTGCTGCTCATATGTGAGGAATATGAACCAGAATGAGAAAAACGTTTTAAACAATGGCGACACTAGTAATGATAAAATTCAATTAAAATTTAGAATATTTATTGGACAAAAGAAAGGATTGTTTTCAATTTTTGTTTACATTAGTTATTTCGCAGGTAACCAAGAACCAATGAGGTAAGGACTTTACACGCCCATTAAAAGTAAGGAAATTATAAAATATATTTTTATATTACTGTGTAATAAATATATTAATTTATAAATAATTCAAAATAATAAAATAAATCTAGGTTTATTAGAAATAAAAATATAATTGGATAAGGCTGGGATCTTTAAGGGGGGTATGACTAGGTACACTGCTCCACATAACTATACTTCCACCCCTATTTTCGTGTTTTTTCTTTTTAGATCCCAAAATTTTTTTAAATTTTTTTAAGTTGAGAGGAATCAGGATTCCGGCTGGGATCGGGCGGGATTATCCCTGTTTTTTGAATCCCGATATGGGCGGGATTATCCCTGTTTTTTGAATCCCGATCCCGATTTTATGTCGGGATCCCGATCCTGTACAAGTCTAGCATTAACTAATTTCCTGATTCTTTAGCAAACTCTTCAGAAAATATTTAAACTAAACTAAAAATCAAGAAATAATTTATTTACTTTATAATTAATAAAAGGTTAATAAATTATGATTAAAGTTGATTATTAAAAAATTATCATATTCCAATAATAATTGTTTGGAAAAATTTCGGAATACTAAACAGAACGCAAATGGGTCAAACTATATGTCATTCGAAAGAGCTCGTCGAGTTGAGTCGAATGGTGAAAAAATTTTCGTGCGGACTCATACAGGGGCTGAGATATAGGCCCCCGAAAATCGAAAAACCATAGAGGGGACCAAGCACTTTTTTGGGGTAAAAAATTCGAATATGCAAATAGTAGCTCATTCGAAAGAGCTCCTCGAGCTGAGTCGAATGACACCAAAATCATCGTGATTGTACAAGTTTGGACAAAGTTACGATAGAAAAACTAAAACCTAAACCTATGGGGCGTAGGCGAGGCGCTTGTGCAAAACCCCGCGCTTCGCGCGGGGTTTTGCGGCACGCGCCTCGCGGGGAGTCTACGGGCGCTGGGTCTGGGCTCGTAACATAAACCTATTCCTATCTCCCTTGCTCTGGACGTATTTGGGGCCTCCGTAGCAGCAAAAATCTCCACAGATGCCATAGGTAAGGAGCTAAAACAAATGGTCATAACTTTCTCAAATCAAGTCAGATTTCGTTGATTTTGGTGTCATTCGACTCAGCTCGACGAGCTCTTTCGAATGAGGTATAATTTGCATTTTCGAATTTTTTACCCCAAAAAAGTGCTTGGTCCCCCCTATGGTTTTTCGATTTTCGGGGGTCTATATCTCAGCCCCTGTATGAGTCCGCACGAAAATTTTTTCACCATTCGACTCAACTCGACGAGCTCTTTCGAATGACATATAGTTTGACCCATTTGCGTTCTGTTCAGTATTCCGAAATTATACCTAATTGTTTAATAATTAAAAATTAAATTAAAATATAGTAGTAAAGAAAGAATAGTGTAGAGGCTAAATGAATTTTTATTAAAGAATGGAAAATAAAAATATAATTTAATATTGATATGAGCCCAGAATTAAACAAAAAGGTTGCCCATCAAATAAAATAGTCGGGGGAATATAATAGACAAAAGAATAGAAAAATATAAACGAATGGGGGTGAATTGTAAAGAATCAAAAGCAAAGAATGGGGAAAATAATTGTGGAAAAATAGAGACAATAATAATAATAATAAATTTGGATAGTATTCACTATTGATGAAAAAGAGGCGGGATTTATTTAGATTTTTGGTCCGGAAAAGTTAGAGAATTATGATTTAATCACCCAAAAATAATTTTGATTCCCATCACTTGTCTAGCTCATTTTCAAAGGTATGCTGGAGTGTCGTATATGAGGATAGCCGATTATGAAAATAAATGTGATTAAGGTTACTCAAGATTATAACAAAGCTTTTAAGCTATTCAAGTAAACAATTAGAACTACTACCCCAAAAATCGGTTGTAAGAATAGTTCCAAATAATCACCATCTTTTTTAAAATAATTAATAAATCCATCCATATAAAACCAAAATGTGCGTGCCTATATCCTCTATAATGAGTTAGTATTCCCTAGAATAAATATATAAAAAAAGTGCGCACGTCCCAACGCCTGGCACCATCTATTGGACTATTCTGGCCATCCTGTTGAGGTAGAAAACAGCGAAAAGGATGGATGGCCCGCAGAAAAGATGGAGGAAGATAGCACAGCGGTGCTTGCCCAGAGGCAGATTAATCCAATTTATTTATGTGGCTGAGGTGAGTCTTTGCATTTGCCTTTACCGTGTGAAACTAAAAAGAGCTAGGAATAAAAGCATGGCATTTTCTAATACTAAAATGAAAGAAAATGAAGCAAAAGGTGGGAAAAGGAGGGTTAGGTTATTCCCGAGAAAAGAGAGGTGAGTCGAGAAAAATTGGAGAAGAAAACAAAGAATAAAATGATGGAAAATACGAATTAGCGACAACCATTAGAAAATGCCAGCCGGTGACTACCAAATGAATGAAAATAAAATAAAAATTGTTTTATAAAGGAAGGAAAACTGTGGTGGATGTATGGTAAAAAGAGGAGGAAAATCTTCTCCCTTATTTAGGAAAATGGTGGAATTAAAATAAAATTATTGTATAATTTGTATTTTTAGATTCGAATAGATTAGAGAAATCACAGAAAAGCACTCGAGATCAATTCTAAACAAAATCTCTTATTATTTGTGGATCTCTAATACATTTTTGAGAAATAAAAAATGAAGAATGAAAGAAAAAGGAAGGTTAAGAATAAAAATTGAAGAATTAAAAATTAATAAAAAAAGAGAAAGTAAATAAATAAATGAGAGAAGGAACGATGGCACACTTTGTATTATTTTTGGAGGAAAAGGAGGAGAAGAGCTTCTCTTTAATGAATAAAATTAAATCCCAAAGGATGCCCAAATTGCAGCTGATTTAGGACATAAAATAAGTGAGACCAAGAAGAGGTTTGAATGGTTGGGGGAAAGAAAGGTATTGAATATTTTATATTTTTGGAGATTTTAAAAAGACATTTGGAAAATTAAAAATAATTAAATTATGATTTAAATAAAATTTCGAGTCACCGGGCTGGATTTTTTGGGTCGGATTTTTTGGGTCGGCTTTCACTCATCATATACAAAAGCTCTACACTGAACTACTTGGGGCATCGACTGATGCTTCCCTTTTATCCTTTTAGATCCTTTAACCCCGCCTAAGCGTTTTTAATGCTCTAGATGAATCATCCTTACAATTAAAGGAAAGAATTTTGATTATAAACAAAATTTAAATTTATAAAAATAATTTAAAAAATATAAACAAACAAAATCTTTTCCCAAAAATTCAGGTAAAAGATTAGAAAAAAATTCAAATAGGTAAATATATTCTAAATGATTGAGTGGAATTAAATTGAGACGACAGAAGGATTTTTCCTATTATTTTTTAAAGGATTAAGAGAATAAATAAAAAAATATTATTCAAAGAAGGTGAGAATAAGCAACGCCTTCTGGCAAAGAATATACTTAAGGAGTATCTTCAAAAAATTTAACAAAAGCTTTCATTTATTTTATTTATCCAAAAAAAAGAGAGAAAACCCCTAATATGAATTTATATTTAAATAAAATAGAAAGAAAAAAACAAAGAATTTTTTGAAAGTTTATTGGGAGAATTTCAGAGATTATTCGAAGATATTTGAAGCATTCAGAGATTATTCGTAAACTGTCACAAAACAACGGACATTTGATGCGGAGGTGGGTCGGAACAGTCAGAGGTGTCGGAAATCAGAACTGGCTCAAAAGCCGGAACTCGGAAATCGGAAATCAAAATTTTTTTCGGAAATCGGAATTCCGACCCACATCTGATGGAATGGAAAGCCTTTTAAATTTGTAAATTATTGCCAAAATAATGGCATATTACTAAAGTTATACTATCCCAATTTTACATTCACTAACAATTAGCTAAGCCTCAAATTTTAGGTATTTTTAGCTTCAAAATACCGTAGAATTCCGTAGAATTAATACCCGACTGTCACAAGTTAATTTAAATAAAAATAATTAAATGCTATTAAAAGCAAAATTACCTAATCGATTTATTTTAATCAAAGCTATGAATTTATAAAATGTTTTTAGTTACTAAATTTATTATTTAAATAATTATCTAAAGCTTAAATCTTTGAAAAATTGTCTTAATTTAACTTTTACTTATAGTTTTTATTTAAAAATATTTTTTGATTATTTTACTTTTTGTAGATTACCCCAAAATTAAAAATGAGCTGGTCTGAACAAAAATTTTCCTTAATATTTTTACAGTATTATATACATATATCAGGGATGTGCCAGCTCGCTTTTCGTCTTTCGGGCAATTTGCTTTTTTGGTGTTTCGCCTTTCGCTATTCGACATTCGCATAAAATCAGTTTCGGCCACCCCTGATACATATCTTCATATACCTAGATGTTAAAATATTAAAGGCTCGGGGGCCTGTTTATATCAGGGTTGCCGTCCGAAACCTGAAACCCTTACCCGATATGTTTGCCAACCCGAAACCAGAAATGAAAACGCTCCAACCCGATACCCGAAACTTGTACCCGAAGATTTTTTGTACCCGCGGCAACACGAGTTTAATTATTATTACCAATTACTTAATTACAACAAATAAATTTAAAAATTAACTGAATTTTGCGACATTTAAAATTCATTTAAAATAAAGCAAACCCTCCAAAAATTTTCCCAAAACATAATTTAAAGAAAAATTTTTGAATATTTCCCCAGTGACCATCCCTACCTTCTGGACATGGGTCAAGTGTCAATGAATGAATAGAAACACTCATATTTCTGTTTTTATTTTTTTTTCTCACAAAAAATAATTCTCTCAACTTAATTAGATTTATTTAGTTTATTTTCCTTAATTCTTTTCTTTAAAAAAATAAATTTTCAATTCTAATTTCAACTTCTTTTTGTTTAATTTAAAGGTTTACCTCAAAAGGTTTCTCGCCCGAATGAATGCGCAGATGCTCTTTAAGGTGGTGCTTGAACCTTAAAATGGGATTTAACAAATTTTGAATAAAAGAATAAATTAATTTTTTGTATTTTAAAAGTTTAAATATCACCTACATATTAAATAAAGAGTAATAAAAATAAAAAAATAATTAGTATACCGTATTTCTAATAGTGCGACCGGTCGGTTTATTTTACAACCTTCCTCTAGGGGTCGATTTTTTTGAAGGAGTCGGTCTAATAGAGGGAGTCGCACTATTAGAAGATATGGTATACTGTATTCATTAGGGGGTATCGGTTATTTTAAAATTTTTGGAAATCCGAAACCGAAGAACAGAGCCGAAAAATACTGTCCGTCGGTTCGGTTCCAAACCGACGATTTTATTTATTAATTTATTTTGTTCTCTCTAAATCTCTGAACTGTTTAACGCCCTAAATTTTATATTAATTTAGCTACTGTTTTTTACATCTGTATTACCTAATCTACAAAACTAGATTTCACTATTAAAATAATTTTTTTAAAGAAAAATCACTTGAATGCTTTTGGGCATTCCAGACATTTAAATTTACGTTCTTGTTGTTGATTAGATTCAGTATTCGAATCTACTGTATTAATAATTGTTTGTTTATTATCTCCTTGTTGCTCCATAGATAATTAAAATAATTAAAAAATAAAAATAATAAACAAATTATTGCTGTAAAAAAGGGGGGACGGATCTGTTAAAATTAAAGATTAATTTTAAAATTTTACAGAAAAGTATTTGTTTATATCGAAAAATGAACAATCAAATGATTGGAATAAACAAATATTTTTAATCAAAAATATTTGAGAGAATTAACTACTTAGTAATTAGTTGTTTGGGAATATTTTATATGTAGAGTTTACTTACATAATCCTCTTCCCCCTTAATTTATTTTTGTTGGGCAGATGCCCTGTCAAGAAATACAATGATGGAGGTGAAGAATAACACGAATTACAGTGACAATCAAAAAAAGATCAGATTTCCGAGTTTTTGGGAAATTGGATAAAAAATAAGGGGGGAAGAACAATATATAAATAAATAAATCCTTCTGTCTTTTTTTGTTAAAGAAAAAGGTTAAAATACTTAACTAAAATCTCCTTAAATATTTCCCACTCCTCGATTAATAAAAAAAGCATATAAAATAAATACAATCACTAAATAAATTGGCAAAATAAACAATGTTTCGATTTGAAATGTTGCGCAAGTGAAAGTAACAGAAATAATAAACATTTACAATATTCTCCTATAGTATTGTTTGAGAAATAAATAAAGATTCTCATTTAAATCATAAAACTTTATAAAAATTTGGAAAATATTTGAAATTTTAAAATAAAAAAATTAAAATTAAAAAGGTAAAATTTTATTTCACAACAATCTAAAAGCAAAAATAAAAGTACATATAAAGATAAGCATTATTTAGGAGAATAAAATGTTTTTGGAAAGAAGCTACCTCTCCTTTTACTGTCCTTTACCTCTCATTAAATGAAGGCCCTTGGCAAAAATAAGAAAAAGAAAAAAGTATTAAGCCTATTCACCTCTTCTTTTTAAAATTTGCTTTGCGGCGGAAGGTTTTGGCACGGTGGAGAAGGGAGGGGGAGGAGGAGGAAGGTAGGGGGAATACCTCTTCAAAAATCTCTATTTAAAATTTGTATTAAAGAGGATGGTATTGTTAAGTGTTTAAATTCAGAATAGAGAGGTTTGGACTTAAATTTAGATTGAATCCTTTTAACTATAAAATAAATCCTGAACTTAATTCCACACTTTTAATTAATCTAAAGGTACATATTAATTAGTACACAATATATTCAAATATTATTCCAATCCAAAGTAGTGTATGTAAACAGTCAATCTACACTCCTGCCAGTCAAAGCTCTCTTGTCTTTTATTGCCAGCCGGCCGTTTTTGTGTTGGTCGTTTCTAGCTATATATTGGCCATCTCCCCTTTAACAATCTTCTTTCAGCTTTTACTGCGCCCTAGGCCAACGCTTAACTACCAGCCCTCCTTTACCTCTTCTTTATAGGTGGGCAAGTTGCGGAGACCAGGCATATAAACACACGGATGCACAATAAATAAATAAATATAAAAAAGAATGGGGCAGGAAAGACCCAAAGGAAAAACTAAAAACTATATAATATAGGCCAATAGTTGAGTGGAACCAATAAATCGCAATCTCTACCGGCTGTGAACCATCATTTCCCCGGTGGTTTTCCTGGGCTCCCCTGTCTTTTTCTGGAATACTTTTCTGCCATTTTTACTTTCATTTTTCTTTTTTTCTTATATTCATTCCCGACTTTTTGTTTGCGAACTTTATTATGTTCCTTATTGAAAAGATTACTTTCTGGAAAAGTTTTTAACTACCAGTATTTATTTCTTTCATTTTTATGGCCGTTTCTTTAAAAGCGGGAATAAGGTGAATATTTATTGAAAAGAGGAGACTATTGGCCATATTATAAAGCTATGGTAGTTGAGCACAGGTGGAACTTATTTATTTGTGAGGAAAAAGAGAAAATAAGGCGTTGATGTTGAGGACAGGTGTAAAAATTGTAAATAAAGAGCGAATGAGGAAAAAAGTAAATAATGGAGGGAAGTTATACGGTGTTTAAAAAGGGAGAAAATATTTTTAAAGTTAAGAGACCAAGAATTAAAAACAATAAGAGTCAAATAAAAATTAATGAAGATTTAAGTTAAATATAGTTTAAAAAAACTTTTTTTATTGTCAACAAAAAAACAATAAATCAACAAATATAAACAAAAACAATTGACAGCTTTAAATTAAATAAAGATTTTGAGCTTTGAACATTTTAAATATATTTTGGGGTTTTAAATCTGTGTAGATATTTAAAATAAAGATGGTTGTTATTAGGGAGATGGGGGGGAGGACGAAAACAAGAAGGTATAAGAGACTTCTGATTAATTTTTAAGCCTTTTTTGACCCTCTAGTTGTTAATTTCTGCCTAAAATACAACCTTTAATGATGGCAACTATTAAGAAATAAAATATTTTAGTGAAAAAGTTGGAAGATTTAAATAAAGATTGAGAATCTTAGTATCTTCGCTGAAAAATTTGCCTCTACGCTTTCCTTCCTTTTTTCTATGTTAGTTTAGTATACTAGCTTAGGTAAAATCTAAAATCCTCCTAGGCTCTCCATCATCCGCCTCTGGCCATAACCCTTCCCCCCTTTAGCTTGCGCTTTCCTTCACATCTTTTTCTCATCTAAACACATCGTTTTAGAAACGACTGGTAACAAACAAATCAATCTTATTTTGGATAAATGACCGGTCAAATATATAAATGAGGGGAAGTCTGGAGGAAGCGTCAAAAAATATTTTAAAATTTTATTTGGAAAAAAATATTTAAATAAAAATTAACTTGACAACCAACTAGATGCTTTGAGGATTAAGAACAAAAATTTAAATTTTTAATTAAATTACCTGTAGTGAGTTCCTCCCAATTTTTAGATTAAGTAGAAAATTAAGAAAATAAAAGCAGGATTTAAAGGATGTTTGAAAAGATTTTTGATTTCTTATATATTAATTAAAGGCACGCGAAAAAAGATAAATTAAAATCTAAATTAGTAATAAAGGTAAAAAAAGAAAATTGTGAACGGGAACGTGTGTAAAATAACTAGAAAAAAGGTATATATTTAATATATAAAAATGTTCTGGTGGTAATTAGAAAAAGCGAAGAAAGGAGGGATGGGTGGGTGAAAGGAACAAGAAGTCATTTCTAATATTTGACAGCTAAATATAGCCGGTTTTGAAAAAAAATAAAAGGGTTTTATTCTCTTTATTTAATTATACTTCAATGCTTTTCTCGATTGTTTTCCTTTCACAGACTCATCCCTTTATTTAATATTATTCAAAAAACATTTTTATTGGATCCGAGAAAAAATTAAATTTAAATTATTAGAGGTAAAATCAAGGGTTGTTGATGACCGGTCATTAATAAGTACCACCGGTTTTGCCCCCCCTCCCGGTTTTGGTTCGGTTAACCGACCTGAACAACCCCCTAGTAGAAGCCGATTAAATAATCTCTGATTGGAATAAATGATATTTTAAAGATAGTACATAAATAAATGTTATACCGTATATACTTTATTAATTACCCTCCCTCAAATAATTAACCCGGCTCTATTAGTTGCCCCCTCCAGCGAAAGTTTGAAACAATAATTACCCCCTCAAAAATAGTTATAATTAGCCTTCCTAAAATAACTTCTATTAATTACCCCGCCTTAATCAATTACCCTCCACAGAGAGATGTCGAAACATAAAGCATTAATTACCCAGGGTAATTAATAGAGTATATACGGTATATATTAATGGTCCTTTTATTAATAAAATACTTCTAAAATGTGAGAAGAAGATAAGAGGTAAAAATTAAAAGAGAAAAACGTGTTCTGTTACTACTAAACTTTTTTTAAAGCTTTTCCTTTAAAAGATTTCTTCATTTAAAGCTTTTCTTTATCTTCTGCCCTTTCCATCTCTTAATTAATCTCGCTTTATTAAAAAATATTTAAAATCATCGGTTCTTCTTCCTTTTTATTTTTTGTTCAAATATTCGGGAGAGATTCTTCTTGTGTAAATCATTTACTTTTTTTCATTTAAAATAAAAGAGGTAAAAATCCCGTTCTCTTTTCATGGGTCATCTTTTTTTTGATTTTCTTCTTTTATTTTTTAATGCTTCTTCTTTTTTATTCGGTTCGGTGGCTCTTCGCCAAATCTCGTTGCCTATCAAATAATTTTTGTTTTACCTTCAAATAGAAACTGGAAAAGGAGAAGAAATGAAAAACATTCTTTGATTCCTATTTAGTAGGGTTTTAATTAAGAAAATAGTTTTAATAAAATGGTAAATATTAATTTACAGAGGTAGATTAATTAGGGATATCGCAGTTAATGCTCAAATCGGAGGTTTATCTATAATTCCAAGACTCCAAATTTCTTCCTTTTCTGCGTCGCAAGCGAAATTTTTAACATTTTAGACATTAATAAGTTCAATTTTGATCCAAAATTGGGTTTAATAGTACTCACTCTGATTAAAGAACAATTTTAGTTTCTAAAGTAAGATATCATTTTTTTCATTCCCAAGGGTATCCGCACAAATGGGATTCGATTGTAATAATTCGAAATAAAATAAAACTGCTAGAAAATTAAGGTTTGCTGTTAATTTAATAGAAATTAAATGAGGAGAGGTTGGGGCAGTTGGAAAAATCTGTGTTAAATCTTTTCCATACCCATTTTTATCGTTAAATAGTTAATATGAATGATTTACCTTAGAAAGAAGAATTCATTTGTAGTTATAACAATGATCATCAAAATATAAATAAATAAATTAAATATTTATTTAAGGGTTCATTCACCAAATTTTATCTTCTACCTTTTCTCGTACATACCCTTTGTCTGCCCGGGCAGGTTCTTCCCCATCAAATATCAAGCTCTGAATAAAAGTACATAAATCCCCAGCTGCTGATTTTGTCAGTACATTCAAATTTTATTAAAAAAGGATAAGAAAAGGAGGTGATGAGAAGGAGAAAAGTGAAGAAGATTCGCCCTTTTCTTAAAACCTGATCAACCTTTTCCAATACAAAATGAGAAGAAATAAGGATTGATAAAAAGAATAATTTTGTGAAGAAAGCATTATTAAACAGAAAAAAATATTTTCTGGGTAACTAATATTTAAAATTGTATTTTATAGAAAAAGATAAAAATCATCTTTTAAACAATATGGAATATGAATGTGTTTTGGGATAAAAGTCTAAAAATAGGCAAAAAACGTCGAATTTCGAAAATGTGAATATAATTAAAAAAGTGTTTCGAAAAATTTGTAAAACAAGAATGAAAATTATAAATACCGTATATCCTTTAATAACTACCCTGGGTAATTATAGTTTCGACCTTCCGCTGGAGGGAGAAATTAATCGAGGGAAGGGTAATTATACGAGGTTTAAAATTTGAACGTGTTTTAGGGCATTTGTTGTGGGTAATTATTGTCTCAATCTATCGCTGTATGGGATAATTAATGGAAGTGGGGCAATTATTTGAGGGAGGGCAATTAATGCAGGTTATACGGTAGCTTTTGTCAGCGTTTGCTAAGAAATTTAAATTTAAACATAACTTATTCTGCTTTCGACAATTTCACCATATTTATTTATAAAATATCTTGACCTAAGAAATAGTGAAAGTATTAATATTAACAAATTTAAATTTAAAAAGAGTAACCGAAATATAAAAATAAATAAAAATAAATACAAACCAAAGGATATTTGGATAAAACAAAGAAATAGGCATTATTAAGGACCGGTCCCAAACCTTGTTCCTGTTGTCTTTTAATCAGCGGGAGCGCGATAAGGGGCGAAAGAATTTTCTTGGGAATATTATTTGTACACACGTTAAAGGTTGTTGTGATATAAATATAAATTAAATGTTTGCAAGTGAAAGTAAAATGAATAAAAGAAAATTGAAAAGGAAGAAGATTTGGGTAGATGGACAGCTGGTGAGTTGTTTGGAATGGGCGCGCGATTTATTTATTTATTAAAGAGAGAGAGATTGGGGTGGTTGATCGGAGAAGATTTGGAATTTCTGGACTACATCCCCTCAAGGATATATTAAAAAAGGTAGAAATTTATTATAATTTAATTGAAAAAGATTTGTTAAAAATATTTTAAATAATTAAATTTTAAAGAAAAATATTTAAATAAAAAATCTGAGCAGAAAATATAAATATAGTCGAATCCTGAAAATCCTGCGAATCCAACTTTAACTCCAGATTTTTCAGTGAATAAGAGGGTGCAAATGAGCTTTGATTTTAATTAGAAACAGAGTCCAACCAAATGATTTTTCTAATTCCCAAGTCTCTCGTCCCTGACTGAAATATATCACACGATTTTTTAAAGCTAACAGGACTTTATTACAAATTAAAAAATTATTAGATTTACATATTTAAGTAACATAAATTAAATTTATCACTGTTTACTCTATTGCGAGGTGTTTGATTTATTTATTAACAGAATTTGATTGTTATGCCAGGAAATACCAATCTGTTTATTTACTCAAGAATAATGAAAATACCGTTTCTACTTTTTAGTAAAACAATGAGTAATAGCCTTGAAGAAAGAAAGTTGTTCCAGCATCTGGTGAAATGATTCAAAATTGTAGGAAGGACAAGATATAGGAGGGCTACATTAAAATAGAGGAGTATATTCTTAAACTACTAAACATTTTGAATAAAAGAATAAAAAAGGAAGAAGAATGAAAAGGATCTAAAATGAGGAGAAATAAGGAAGGAAGATATTTCAGCGCAAAAAGACTCATCAACCATTCACCGATAGTCTTCTCCTTTACTTTATTTTTATATTTTCAAGCATGACTAGGGTCCCGCCTATTTTATATATATCTCCTCTAATTTATTCCTTCCTTGTTTTGGTTGTCAGTCACGCCAGGAAATACCGACCGGTCCCTGCCTTTCACCGAAAATTTTGGAACAATTTATAAAAGAAATTGACTCCTTTAAAAGACTCCTTCCCGTGTCATCCTTTTGTCAAGAATTGGGCCAATCAAGCAGCGGTAAATGAAAAAAAAAAGAAAATTTTGTGAAAGAAAGGGAAGTGGTGAAAATCAGTCACGGACAGGAAAATCCCTTTGGGATAAAATTTGAGAAAAGCAAATTAGTAGCTTTTTGACTTTTTTTTAAGAGGTGAAAAGTATGTAGTTTATAAAGAAATTAAGAAAAGAAAGGAAATAAACGGTAGGAAGGAAGTATAGATTTACTAAATTTGGAATTTATTTAAAGAAGAATAGGAAAGAAATTAGTAGTAAAATTTTATTTTAAATGAATCTCGTGTCTAGAAATTTAAAAAAAACAAATAAATAATTATCTGGGGCCCATTTTAATTGTCCACTGATTCTGCGGATAGAATTCTGTGTACAGACCACAGAACCACAGAAAAGCTGTCTTAATTATTCCGCAGATTCTGTGGAAACATCCACAGAATCTGTGTTCTGTGTACAGAATGCAGAATCTGTGGACAATTAAAATAGGCCCCTGTTTATAAGGATTTTGGGAATTAATTGATTATCTATAAGGATAAAAATGGATATATTTTTAATTTGAGTTTCTTCCTAAATATTTGTTTTTGAAAAAAAATTTAAAATATAAAAAAGAAAAAAATCCTTAAAAATACTTCAAGGTCGGGAAATGTCTAAAAGCTTTTTTTGCGCGAATTGCAAATCTTTCAAATCTTTTCTTAGGTCAATCCAAGAGAAAAACACTACAAAATTGTGGCATTCCTTCCTAATCTCCCTATAAGAATTTTTGGCATTTGCCCTTATGCCACTTTAATCTATTGAAAGGGTCAAATACCGGCCATATGTAAATTCTTTTGATCTTTATTTTTATTTAAAATTCTTTTGATTCCCCCAAAAAGGATTAACGGCGCCTTTTAAATAGACAAAAACATCTCTTTTTAAAACATGCAAATGAATGGATATATAAATAAATTTTGTTGCTTTTTTCTGATTTTGTTTAAAAAGCAAGCAAAGATCATCCCTTCCCCATACTTTAAATTATAATACATAATACATACATATTTTTTCCTTTAATTTACCGCGTTTTCTTGACATGAAGATTTGATTAAAATTTAAATATTAAAAATAAATTGTTAGCAGCTTCGGATAATTTATGTTATATATTTTAATAAATGAACCTTGTCAACGAGTTAATTAAACTACTTATAAAATATAAATCTATGATAATGTCAAATAAAAATCAAAGAAATTCAAAAATATTTTAGGAATAAACAGATATCAAGGATCGTGACGACATAGAAAATAAATTGACAATTCGGGAATCTGGGATTACAAAAATTTATTTTCATTTCCTATTTGGGAAAATTTGGACGGCACAATCCCTAGTACATATAATCTAAATTTAAACGTTCATTAAACTATAAGAAATATCTAAATAAAATTATAATTCTTTTATCAAATTACTATAATTTACATTCTGGAATATTTCACTTTTTTATTAAAATTTTTAGGATAAAGTGTAGCTTTATTTGTCAGTTAAGGTCATTGATGTATTGTCGGCAAATACTAAGAAAAAATAAATAAAAATATTTTAATTTATGCAAAACCTTCGAATACTACCTAAATTTATTTATATTTTCCTTTCAATTACTCTTATTCTTCAGGAGATAAATAAAAGACTTGCTAAAATATGGCCGAATGTAAAAACAGTCAATCTTATTTTGTAATGCGCAGATTTAAAAAAATAAAAAAGAGATGCTCGGCAATATAGTACATAGAATATCTTTATTAAATAATTTAATTTAAACTAGAGTTTGATGCATGGCTGGGAGCTCAGAACCGAGTGTCTTGGGCCCAATAACCCGAGAACTATTTTGATAAACTCAGATTTTTCGGGATTTCCGAGTTTTCGGGCTTAGCACGGAAAATCTGAGGGGAAAAATACGGCCTGGCAATTTTTAAATGGTGGGCTCTAAAAACTATTATACATATATGATTAATACAAATTTTTCTGAATTTTTAAAGAAGTATGTAAACTGACATAAATAAATACTTATCCTTTTAATTTTTAAAAATCCAAAACTTTCACTAAATAAATTTTACAATTTCCACAATTTCCTTATCTCCTCTAAAAATCTTTTAAACCACCTCACAATTTTTGCGGTGTTTTTACCGTCATTTAGAATAGAAATAATGGCCAGATGTTTCTTTTTTAATAAATAGCTTGTGAATGGAAAGGAGAAATAAAAACATAAATAACCAATAAAAAATTTTGGTCATTGGCCGGGCCAAAATGTGGTAAAAAAGGAATTAATTTATTCTAAGATTTTGCGCGAAGGATTCTATAAAGTATAACAATATTATTAGATGGTTTAAAAGATTTTTTCATTTTAATATGTAATTAAAAGTATTTATTAAGAAACTCAGGTAATAATTCGGTTCGTACCCTCCACTCCTTTTTCCTTCCTAAAATTATTAAAAAATGGTCAGTCAGTCATAAATCTTTGCGCAGTGTTTTTGTCTGTATCTTGGCCGGGGTTGATTTTGGTGTCAATCGACACAGCTCGACGAGTTCTATAATCTAAGACTGACTGACCATTTTTAATACTTTTAGGAAGTAAAAAGGAGTGAGGGTACAAACCGAACTACATATTACCGAAACTCACTTAAAAAAATAAAAATTAAACTTTTTTTTAATTTTTAAAATATTTAAATATAATCTTCAATCCTTTTGTCTTTTTTTAAATTTTGATGAAATTAAAATGTAAAATTCGTAGAATAATGGAAGGGAAGAAAATTTAGGAAGGGATACCATGGAAGAGGAAATGAAGAAAATAAATAAAAATATAAATCGTTTTATTGGATTAGCCAGGTCTTTTACCACCGTTTTATGAGAGGTAGGAGAATGTTGAAGTAAAAGGTGCAAGAAAATCGCGCCATCTGTCACAAGAGTGGACATTTGATAAAATGAAGATTTGAGGGGAAATGTTGGAAGAAAAATGAGTGGTTAATTTATATAAAATGATTGAGAAGAGGAGGAGGGGGAAGGGAAGGGATGTTTTGATTGAATATTATTTATGGAAGAAGAAGATGGAATTCTGAAGGAAATATTGGAAGATACTACACATGCGCGCCAATTTATTTTTGATAAATTATATTTAGAATACTTGAATATATGTATGACATTAAAAACAGGTGATTCCGATTAATAATTTACATAAAATTGACCTTAAGTAGAAAGGAAAAATAAATTAATGTTTAGTAGATTAATTTAGGTAGTAATAAAAGTAAAATATTTTTACTTTTATTTCACGTATTTTTGCTTAAATTACTAATTAATCAACAGACAAATTAATTATATATTGTCATCATTATTTTAAAATTTTTAAATATACCTACCGGAAGTATTTTATTTTTTTTGGTAAATATTATAAAATATCTTAATTTATTCAATACTAGATGGGTAAGTTAACTAATTTATTAACAAGATAATTGTTAAAAATAAGCAATTAATTATTTTAATTTAAAATAAATATATTAGTTATTGTTAATTTTTTTCTTTTTTTTCAACTATATACATTCATTTTTTTTTAAAAAAGTGCCACTTTGCATTTTGTCAGGAAAGATGAACACCGTATAGGTGCTAGTACATGCAAAATTCAATTGTTTGTCCTCTCTTCAGCATTTTGTTTAGATTGAGAACCCTCGAGATTGGTCAGTTATTTTGGGGGAATGAACGGGGATTTATTATGGAAGAAGACAAACTGAAAAAAATTAGAGGAGACAATAAATCCAATTGATTGAGAGAACAAACAAAGGATTAAAAATTGCCTCAAACTGTGAGGACAAAATGTGGGGAAAAAATAAAAGAATTAATGAATGATATATTTTTTGTATTAAATACATATGTACAAAATCCTTTCCCGCATTAAATTCTCATCACATGTATAATTTTAAAGCTTATTGGATAATGGGATTTTCTCCTGCATGTTTTCATTAAAATTCGACATATGTACTTATTGTAGATATTTTATGTTAATTTTGTTTAATTTGCTATAATTTAAAAAAATAATTAAAAAGTATACCGTAAATACCCTAAAGCCCTGGGCTTATATTTTCATTACCCCTCATTGAGTTGGCTTCTAATAAGGTATGGGCTTATATTATGATATTTACGGATGTTTCCCTTGGAATAAAATCTTGTCCTAAATTTTATGTCTGATAATGAAAATTGTTAATTGTTGTACAAAGAATAGCAAAAAAATCACAAACTAAGGAAAAAATTTAATATTATAGTAGGTAAGTATTGTTGTGAAAAAATTTCAAAAATTTTCTAACAAAAATATATACCCGTAATTATGTTATTTCCCAACTCTCGATATATTCCAAGTTATTTTTCCCTCTTAAACTTTCTTTTATTATATTATAACACTTATAATAATACAATTTTCTTTCACAAAATAAAGGATCATACAATTAACGAATAGAGGAACACAAAAATGGAAATGATGGCCAATTTTAAAAAATGAGGGTAATGATGGTTGAGGGAAGAAGGTATAAAAAATAAGAAAAATATATTCATTGTTATCCAATTTTATGAGAAAAGAAAATTAGAAAAATGAGAAGAAAGGTCGTCAAAAATATCCTGAAGAAGAAAATTGGCAATTTTCTTCAAGTAAATAGAAAAATACAGAAAATGACAACTTTGACTTTAAACATAATACATAGAAGAATTGTTTCCGTTACTTTTTTTAGAAAATTAATAGTTTTTAAGAAATTTTGGCATTGAATTAATTATTAATTAAATAAATACAAAAATTAATGGAGAAAAGTTAGTCTAGAGAAAGATGGGGGAAATTTTAAGGAATTAAAATTAAATGTTAGGGTAAATGTTAGGGTTACAAACCTAAATTAATCATTGTTTTCATATTTTTGTATATTTTTTTCAATTAAATTTTAAAATATCACAAGACTCAAGAAAAGAGGTGTTATTGTTGGATTGACCATGAAAATAGAGAAAAATATATTTTTAGTTAATTAAGCCAAGGTTGACCTTTGGAAAAAGAAAGGCGACAGTTGGCAGTTTTCTTACGATTTTTGGAATGGATATTTATATATTTTAATAAATTAATTCTCGATGAGCAATTATTTTGGAAATTGTCAAAAAAATTAATAAATAATAAAAAATGACTTCAAATTATTTAATAAAATAAAAGGAATAGATAAATTAAAATATTTTAGAAAATATTACGAATAATGGAGTTCTTTAAGTATAATAATTATTTTGCCAAAAATTTAGGGAACTAAACATATTTGAGAAAAAATATTTGACAATTAATTTTTTTATAATTTGCACAATTACAGTTTGTTCAGCAATCATTTCTGGTTTTCCTTAAAAACAATGGAATCGTTAATCTTAACTTATGCATAATTAGAATACAAACAGATTTCTTTAAAAAATTCATTTCATCAATATTAAAAATATTTTCTACATACATATCTAAAAACATTAATTTATTATTGTATCCTTATGTATCCTTTTGTATTAGATCCAAAAAAATTTTTTTCAAATAAAATTCAAAAAATTCTTTCGCGCAATTATAGAAAGATTTGACTAAATACTAAAAATAATATTGCGTGGTTATGCCTTTTTCGGCATTTTGCCGCCAACATATTATGTATGTAAAACTATAATATGGTAAATTAAAATTATTTCTCTTTTTTTATTTAAAGCCGACAACTTGTTTAATTTTATTTTTTATTACATAAATATCCATAATTATTTATAAAATTCCAAAAATCTTTGTGGCAATTAAAGTTCCGATTACAAAAAATATTTTTGTCGGCAATTTTAAAAAAACTTTTTTCGAGAGAATATATGTATATTTGTTGACATTAATTTTAATATTATTTAAATACTTTTTATTTTTTACAACCTTTTTTTCTTTTTAATTTCTTTGAGTCGTCACACCTGTCATCAGAAAATGCGCGGGTGCATAATTCCGGATGATTTTGGTTTAAAAAAAAGAAAGAAAAGAAATAATGGAAACGCATCTGGCAGTAAAAGGAATTTATGTAATAAATGGATGGATTTAAACGATTAAAAATAAAATTAAAAATAAATATTTAATTATGAATTAATAAAGAATATTTAATATTTTTAATTTATTTTTTAAAAAGCATGGAAGCCTAAAATGCTTTGACACCTTAATTAACAAACTACCTAATAGATCACCGATTTGTAAAAATTATTCGCGAAACTTCATTCTCGATTGAAAAAAATTTTTTAAGTTAATGAGTAAATTTAAATATTATTGAAGAGGATAAAGTAATTCAATCGAGTAGAAAAATTGCAGAAATAAAGAAAAAAAGCTTAGCTAATTTATCGAAATCTTATCCCTAATAAAGCAAAAATTTCATTAAAAATAAATTATTATAAATATCTAAACTGATTCAAAACACCAAAATTTTTTTCATTTTAAATTTAAAAAGAAAAATGAATTTATAAATACCTTTTATGTATAAAGGTATTTTAACGTTTTAACCTTAATACATATTTAATCCAAATTCATATAAAGGTATAAACTATTCACTGAAATAATTGAAAAGAAAATTTTGAAAGTGAGAATTTTTTGGCGGATTACTATTAATTCTTTCACCTTTTTAAAAAGAGGTAGAATAGAAAGGTTATTTATAGATGTTTAAATTTTAAAGTTAACAAAATTTAATTCAATATATGTTTGAGGGTACAGTCATAAACAGCGCCGGCCATAATAACGCAAAGCCATAACTAGCTGGAAATTTTCTGGCACTTATCAATTTTAGTACCAATCTCTGCAGCTCGATGAGAGGAATCGTTTAATATTAAATTTGTTAAGATTAGGAAATCTTTAAGCAAGTTATGGCTTTGTGTTGTTATGGCCGCGCGTTGTTTAGGGCGTGTTTGATATTAGTTTTTTGTAAGGAAAAATTACATCGAGACTTTATTTTTAACAAAAAGGATATTTAACTTAATAAGAATTCCAAATCTTGCTGAATTTATGAAAAATTAAAAATTACTAGCTTTAAGGGAACAAAAATCCTCCCAAGAGTAAATGAAATAAACAAGTAAAGGCTAGTTAGTTATTGAGAAGCTAAAAATGTCTCAGAATTAAGCTAAAATTTGTCTATTAAATCTTTATTTATTTTATCAAAAAGCATTTCCTTTTCTTTAGTAATTTTGAAGAAAATTTTGAATTTATTATTTTAAATTGTTACTAAATCCAAATTTGGAAGTTAATTTTGCTGTTATTATGATTCTAACAAGGGAATTAGAATATCTTTGGTCTTTCTAGAATAACAAAACTCTAAGGAATGAAATTTTAAAAATAAAATTTTATTTTAAAATTGTTAAAATTTTTTTAAAAATTATGGTATATGTATTTATTCCTTCAATTTTCGTCAACAAATACCTATATTGTAATACAACAGTTTAGAAAACTTTAATTAATTTTTATTAAAATTTCCATCCATTGTTTAAATAAATATTCTGTTTTGCCTACAAATCTACTCATCCATCCATATATTCATCAACTCAATATCTTCAACAATTCCATTTTCTTTATATAAAGCCGACAAACAATTTTTATTCATCCGAATAAAAGTAGTCAAGGATGGAAAGATCATTTTAAGTTTATACAATCTTTAGAAATTCTTGACCAAAAAACATATTTGGTATCAAGGCTAGGCTAATTTGCATCTTTTGCATATTTCACATTTTTTCTCTTTGCTTCTAGAACTTGCAGTGCCCTGTTAGGTAAATAGGCTCAGTATTGTTACAATCCAACTTAACTTCGAATGTTTCTAGGCACAAATGCAATGTATACTTATAAAAAAGAAAGGTCTAAAAGTTTAAAATCAGAGTAAAATTAAAAATTTAGAATGTAGAAGAAAAAAGATAGATCGAATTTTAATAATTGAAAATGCAATCCATTTATTTTATTTTAATCTTAAACTTAATATTTAGGTGAAATCATAAAATAATCTTTATTATTTTTTATTAATCATTTACAACAAATATTCATAATTAAATAATATCCAAAAAAACTCAATTTAATGCTCTAATAAACATTGAATAATAATATACCTTCCCTTTATTCTTTGCGCATCTTTTTTTTATTAATATTAAATGTACTTACGCAATATCCCGCAAATATTGAGAATTTTTGTGGGGATTGTGTGGCCTATCCGTGCCCGCTCAACTCATCGAATCCTTAACTCATCGAATCGACCAAAAACGCTCAACTCATCGAATCGGCTAAAATTCCTTAACTCATCGAATCGGCCAAAAACACTCAACTCATCGAATCCTTAACTCATCGAATCCTCAACTCATCGAATCGGCCAAAAACGCTCAACTCATCGAATTTTTCCAAAAGGGGACGTTTGAGTCCCCTGTTTTTATTTTTCTCCCGAAAGGGCTAACTGAATCTTCGTTGAAAAAATTTTTTGCTGCTATGGAGGCTAGGAAAAAGGGCTTTTGGGCATAATCGGGGTCTACTGGACTAATTTGGTCCGGTTTTACCCGGTAAAATCTCCAGCATAATTTATTAGGAATGAGATAATGTTTTCAGGAATGAGATAATGTTCTGATAATGTTTTCACTGGCCGGATAAACTTGGATGAGTGCCCGATCAACTAATTAACAAAATTAGTTGAAACCCCAGAAGAAAACAAAAAAAAATAAACAAAACAATAAAAAATCTAAAAAATAAACACGGGGACTCAAACGTCCCCTTTTGGAAAAATTCGATGAGTTGATCGTTTTTGGCCGATTCGATGAGTTGAGGATTCGATGAGTTAAGGATTCGATGAGTTGAGTGTTTTTGGCCGATTCGATGAGTTAAGGATTCGATGAGTTAAGGATTCGATGAGTTGTAGGGTAGCCGGCCTATCCAATTAAATAAAAAATATTTTTTTCTTATATTTCCCGCATTGAAGGCAATTTAAGGGAGCGGTAAGAATAAAGAAGAAAGGTCGAGAAGCGGAAAAAGTGAATAAAACCTTTTTAAATCAAGAGGGGATAAAAACAGGAAGAAAGCGAAAATGAACGGTTCTACTCTTTAAAAGATCCTTAAAACGAAATGACCAAAAAAAGGAAGTATGTATTGAGGAGAGGGACCAAGAAAAAAAAATAATTAAAAATATTTTTTGTAAATTATTAAGAGTTCATTTAATCATGTTGGTGAACGATCTCAACTTATCAATAGGTCAAACATTTTTTTCACTATTTAGACATTTGTAACAAAAGGCAAACTATTAGAGATCGGACCAAACAAGTATTTGGTCAAATAAAATCAAATATTTGATCAAATTTTATTTTATTTCATTTGATCAAATACAGGGTGCGGCAAATTGGCCGCCCCTTTTGTTTTCGGCATAACTTTCTTCAATTTCAATGAAAATTGATAATTCTTTTTTTATTTGATTCCCAACACTTTAGGAAAATTTTTGAAATCAAGCTAATTAAAACGTCATTCGAATCAGAAAAAAGAGCTTATTTGATTTATATAAACTTCTCCAATATCAGACATACGTCTTTTAATTCAGACGGCTTTTGGTCAAAAAAATTTTGTCTGAACTTTAGGGAAAATACTCAAATTAATTTATAAAATTTAGAGAATATTTTTGTGCCAAAAATTTTCCTAGAGTGTTGGGAATCAAATAAAAAAAGAATTATCACTTTTCATTGAAATTGTAGAAAATTATGCCAAAAACAAAAGGGGCGGAAAAGTTGCCGCACCCGGTATTTGTTTGATGAGTTTTGGTAGAAATCAAATCTCTTCAAATATCAAATAATTTTCAAATTATTTGATCAAATTTTTAATTTTGCCGTTTGTCCTATATCTACAGGTCAGACTTGTAAAAACTCTTCTCCACTTCTACAAAATTAAAATATTTTCATTTTAGAATTTATTAGGTTTCTATAATAAAAATCTATGTTTTCAAACCTATAAATAGTTCATGATTAAAAAATATAATTTTAAAACAAATAAATATTTTTTGAAAAAGTGAAAAGCTAAGATTTACTTTCTGGTTCTAACTCAACCGAGATTTAACAATTAAATATTTAGTGAAAACATTTATTTTAAGTTTATGAGAAAGTAGAAAAATGCAGAGGAAAAAATTAAATTTAAAAAATACAAAATTGAAAATGAATTCGGAAAATTAAAAATATAAGTGGATAGAATGCAAACTAGAAAACTTTGTGAGATGGACGAAAATAAAATTAATAATACAATGCATGTAATAAAATTATTTCCGAATCCATTTCAATTATAATTTAAATGAAATTCAAATCATAAATCAAAATTCCATATTCTTTTCTTGATGTCAAACTGAAAAATAAAAATTTTAGCTAAAAATTCTTTTAGAATCTAAGTAGAGGTTCTAAAGGCCTAATATTTTCGTTCAAAAAATATTTAAAAAGAGTCCTAGAAATGTGGGCTCTGGAGGATTAGGCTCCAAATTCTTAAAATTTTGAACTCCCGCAGGAATTTTGGACACAAAGTGAAAAAACAGAATATTGGGCTTTAGACATTTGAGCACCAGAGTTTACGGAAAACGGGGGAGATCTTATTGATAGATTAAAGTTAGAAATACAGATGTCCCTGCTAAAGAATTTTTTTCTAAAAACGCCCAAACTCTAGAGCTCAATATGCCGGTTTTTCGCTGAGTCCTAGATGAAAAGTTGAAGCTTATGAAAATCGAGTCCAAGTCCACAAAAACTAAATTTCCGGACATCAATGTTTACCAGAAATGATTCACAAAAATCAAACCTTAAAGAATAGTCATTCCTCTGCTTTATTGAACATCAACGCGAACGAGAGCGCGATCGTGAGTAGGAACGTTCGTGACCACGACGATGATACGGCGAGCGAGACCTGAATGATTAAAATAACTTTTAATTTCAATTAATATTTCTTTAGTAATTTAATAACATTTAGAAGCGAGGATGTGATGAAGACATAAACCAAAAGATGTTTTGAGGGTGTAATTTGGCAAAAAAAACTTTTTTTTGTTTATTTGACTTTATCCGGCATTTGCAAATGTTGAGCCGAATTTGTCATTTTTTGGATGAAGAATGTAGGGAAGTGATGGGTTGGTTGGAAGAGCATGAAGGGAGGTAGAGATGGAAGGGTCAATCCTCAAATATTTAACAATGACACCAATTAGTTTTTACAAAACAATTTTTAGTAGAAAAATTGGGAAAAGTTGGTATCGAAAAAGTAAAGGGGTAGGAGCCTTGTCATGACGATTACACGAACTGGTCGAAGCTCGAATAGATGTGGAGACCGGATCGGGACCGGCTAATAGGAGCCGGCGTTCCATCAATGTCGTACGAGCCTAATTGTATATTTAACTGTATACAGACAAGCTCGCAAATTTTTTAAGTTAATCGATGTTATATAGGATTTTCTGTCACCATATAGGGTAAAACACAAAATAAGCATTCAACAATCCCTTTTATTAAGTTAATGCAAACCTAGAACGATAACGAGATCTATCCTGGTATCCTCCACCTCCTCCCCCACCACTAGAGTAAATTCGTCCACTATCTCCACGTCCACTGCTACTTGTCGACAATTCCACGCGAGCCTTTACACCACAAATTCTACTAAATTTAGGGAAAATGTAAAATTATTTAAAGAAACAAACGTCCCATCCAAAGCCCGGACAGCATCTTCCGCATCTCGATGATCGTCAAACTCAACAAAAGCAAACCCCGGTGGGCGACGAGCTACCCAAATTTTACGAATTCGTCCAAATTTGTGAAAAGCATCGTCTATCTACAATTAAAAATTGTTAAAAAATTGAGACATTTTTAACCTCTTCAGAAGTTGCGTCTTCAGGTAATCCACCAACATAAACCTTTCCTTCAACAAAACCTCCGCGACTACGACGGTTGGACATTTTGTTTTTAATTAAATAATTGAAAGTCTCCTGAAATATTTATTGAAAAATTTAAAAAATCTCAAATCCTCCCTAAAATTAATAACACATGACAAAAATCGTTAATCAATAAAGCAAACGAAAAGGAAGACAAAAGAAAAAAGAGAGGGTAGGGGACGATTCAGTATTGGCCGATTCAGTATTTGGGCTTTTTGGCCATAACTTTTTGCTCGATCAATATTTAGGAATTATTATATATGATTTGATGGGCCTCGGGGTGCTGCATCTTTTTCATAATTGGACTACCTGATCTGATCACTCTACAAATAGTTATCACTGATAAACGACGTCACAGGCATAAAAAATCGGTTTTCACGCTGTAACTTTTTTTGAGATCATCAGATCTGATCGGGCCAATTATGAAAAAGATGTCGAATCTCGAGACTTTTCGAATGATATGAGAATTATTCGAATCGGTCGAATATCAGGAAAGTTATGGCCATATACTGAATTGGTGGATACTGAATCGTCCTTAATCGCTTATTTTGAGCAGCGTTTGGCGTTGTGTTAATTTTGAAATAAAATGAGATAATGTGTTGTTAGAGAAATAAAGAAAGAAAATAGATTTTTTAAATTTTTTACAAATTTTTTTTTGTTTTTTACTTGATTTTACTTTCCTTGTTGATTAATGTTTCGAGCTCTTGCCACACTTATGTGCGCGATTTTCGGCCTCGCTAAAATAAGCCGAATCTTTGGTTTATCCAAAATTTAAAAAGACTTGGCCCGTCGCGAAAATAAATTCACTTATACCTTCCATTTATTGTTCTTAATCATTTTATAATTTCTCGCTAATGTTTGTTTTGCAAAATTTTTTGACAGATAACCAATCTTCCTTTTATTTACTTGGGAAAAGTATCGAGTAATTTATTTATTTTTCTTCAGACCTTACCGAATTTTGCTTAATTTTACATAATGCCCCGTACATACCAAGATGAATTACAATTTATTGAAAGAATCTCGCCAGTTGAATTTCGGATTAAAAAGGGTTTTGTGCCCAATATGAATGTTTGTGTTTTTATTTTGTTCCCTTAGGGGTTGGGTGATGCAAAAAAGGTCGAAAAACATTTTCTTTTTTATTGTCAAATTATATATTCGAAAGAGCTCTTCAAGCTGAGTTCAATGACACCTAAATTTAAGTTCGGGCCCCTTTAAGTCGAGTTAAGGACTCTAATGGTCAACAATGGTAGTGAGACCATACAACTGGTCATAACTTTGTCAAAACTTGTTCAATCACGTTAATTTTGGTAGCATTCGACTCGTCTCGGAGATTTCTTTCGAATCAGCTATCATTTGTTTATTCGAATTTTTAGCTCCAAAAATCAGGATGGTCCCCTTAACACAACTTTTTGACCATTTCGAGCCCTATATCTTGACCCAATGTTGTTTCCTTTGACTATTTTGGTGTCAATCGACTCGGTTTGAAAATATTTTTTGAGTGATATATGATTTGGACAATAAATTTTTAAAAAAGTTTTTTTGACCGTTTTGCAACCATAACAGTCTTAATTATTTTTCAAGTCCAAGAAAAAATTTTCTAAATTAAGGTAGAAGGCCGTTTCTTTGTTAATTCTGCATTGGAAAAGTTAATGTTTGAAGAACTGGAGCTGAGTTCCAGAACTTCAGCTGCTGGCTTTCTACCTGCTGTTAAACAAATTGGAAATGTTGCCTCTCTTCCAGCAATTGTGAAAAGTTCTATTGGCCTCCCGGATGTTCACTCAGTTTCTTTTTTAGTTTAAATTTCTTTTAAATTATTTTTTTAAATTTGAGGGATATGGCTTTGCTATTGGAAATATTGCGGCATTTGATGTTTCGAATCCAAATGCTGTTGTCTCTCCGGGTATTTTTTAAAGTTTGTTTGGGTCAAAAACGGTTAGGTCAGCTAATTGGTCCTAAAAGTTGTTTTTATTCTTTCTGGGGTATGATCCTATAATACCGAAACGAACTACCAAACGCCGGAATACCAAACATGGAAGACGTTGAAATGCTCGATAAGTAGAAATTCGTTACCAACCTTCACCAGATTTGGAATAATCTTCCTTGTTAACTGCCTCGTAGTTGAGACAACCCTCATGATTCTGGGGAAATTTTACCTCACAAATTTATGTTTGATTTTTGGATTCTGATTTGGTATCATTGGCGTTTTTTCATAGTTTGTTATTTCAGCGGCTTTTGTGTATTTGGTATGGTGGCCATCATCCTCTCCTTTTTTGCCAAAAGTTGTCGAAATACTAGACCATGGAGATTGCCAGCCTTGACGGGTTTCGGGTAGAAATAAGCCTTGTTACGGCTACATAAAATTACCTTTCCCGATTGAAATTATAAGACTAAAATTTTGCGGACTTTTTTAAAAAATTTTCTATGGGGCTAAAAACTTTTTGAGTTTCGGACAAAACTTGAGAACTTTTAAAAAAATTTTCTAATTATTTAGAAATTTTTTATTTGCGAACAAAAGTTGTTGCCTTATAAAAAATTCTTTCTAATTTAGGAGGTGTTGGTTTTGACATAAATTGTGGCGTTCGTCTTATCAGGACAAATTTATTTGAGAAAGATGTTCAACCTTATAAGGAGCAATTAACACAGACAATGTTTGACTATATTCCCGTTGGGATTGGTATTAATTTTTAAATTATTTTTTAAATTAAATTGTTATTTAGGTTCGAAAGGAATTATTCCAATAAATGTTCGCGATTTCGAAGAATGCCTGGAAATGGTTTGAATAATTTTAAATTAGTTTTAACGTGAGTGATTTTGTGGGGATCTTTTTTCATAATTCCAGGCTTAAGCGATAAACGTATGTAATTAATTACGTAGATCCTTGCTGTATATGTGGAACAAAAAATCCCGATGTAATGCGACTTTTTCAACCTCCGGTTTAAATATTTTTTGGGCAACGTGGCTTTTTTAATGATTTGTGTCTTATAATCCTAACAATAAGTTAAAAGTTTCGCAGCAGTTCAACTGTTTCCCTGTCCTTAACTTAAGAATGGTCGAATAATTTTTAATGTTCTTGGTACCAATGAATGGAGAATTAAATACACTACGAGTCTAGGGATATCTTCGTTATTACAGATATTATGATTTAAAGACTAATTTTTCAAAAGTTTGATTTTTCGGACATAACTTTTTTTATCGATCATTCAAGAATTTTAATTTTTGGTATTTTGTAATGTATTTAATTCTCTATCCACTGGAACTAAAGCATTATGAAGTGGCCATCCCTTGATAGGTTATAGGTGCTTGGAGTGTCACTCACGCCATTTGAGTTGTATCCTCATAATGATTTTTGGCCGCGTTTTGTCTGGTTCTAACACGGAGAGGTTGCGAGGTGTCCGACCTAAAAACTTCGAGACCGGGCTCATTCGATAGAGAATGTGCCCTTTCTTGCGAAGATTTTAAGCCGTCTTTGCTAGAAAGGGCACATTCTCTATCGAATGAGCCTTGTCTCGACCGTTTTTAGTTCGGACAACTCGCAATTTCTCTGTTAAGCTTATATTTTGTTTAAAACCTCTTTATAAATTTTTCGTTTATAACTTACATTTTAAGGGTATGGATTGGACATTACGTGAAGGCTATTCCTGGGCTGAAGATAAAGAACATTGTGAAGAATATGGTTATTTTTTGTCTTTTTCCTTAATTTTAAAATATTTTTACAGGTCGAATGTTACAAGCAGATGCCTCTAAAGTTTCCACTAGAGCTAAAAAGCGTGGTTTGCCTCAGGTTTTTATTTTAAGTTTAAATAGCTTAATTTTCCTCATACATTTAACGTTAATATTCATCGATTTGTCATTTCCAGCCTTTTGTTAATAGATTGTCGAGCAATTTCGAATAACGAGCAATTTCGAATAGCTATTAGGATTAACTATTTCAGATTTTGTTTTTGTAACGAAAATAACGAGATTATATTAGGTTTTATTATTAAAATTTCTAGGGAGAGTTTTTTTTTGCCCCGAATCGCGATCTTTTTAATTGCCTAGTTTTCCTTTTTGCTTCCTTCAATGGAGCTTTAACCTCATTCCCATTATCCCTCTAGACTTACGCCTTGTTATCTAGGTTTTTAAACGATAGTCAATGTTAACCGATTAACTAAACTGTATCCTGTTTTCTAATTTTAGTTAGGTACTTTGGGTGCTGGAAACCATTATGGAGAGGTTCAAGTCGTAGATGAAATTTATGACAAATATGCAGCACAAAAAATGGGAATTGAATCAAAAGGGCAGATTTGCATGTTTATTTTAATTTTTATTTAGTTTTCATTGATTTTCTATTTTAGAATGTTACATACGGGAAGTAGAGGACTTGGCCATCAGGTGGCTACTGATGCTCTTGTGGCTATGGAAAAGGTTTTTGAATTATTTTTTTGTTTTTATTATTGGGTTCCCATGAAGGTCGTTTGACTTAAATTGTTGAGTTTTTTGTAGATGTTAAAACTTAAATTTCAGATAAGTAGCTAGGGGTCAATTTCATGGGGCTAAAATCGGAGGTGTGATAAATTCTTTAGTGTGTTTTCTAATGGATAACAAATAGTTAAAAGATCTGAATACTAGACCAAAAAAAATAAAAAACACTAAAAATTTATATCTAAAGTTTCTGAAAACTTTTGTGCATCTACAAAAAATTCTACAATAACTATTTTTGCCTTACGAATTTATGAAGCCACTTTTTAACTTGTTTATGAAAAAGATATTTAATGATGATTTTTATTTTTATTTAATTGTATATTTTGTCTGTCGTCCTTTACTTGCCTTGTTCAATTTAGTATGATTTTTTTGATCAGGATTGTGTATGTGATGTTTTTTGCTCCGGCTCCGACCCTTTTCAAATTTAGGCTCCGGGATTTTTTAAGTCTTAATGTTCTGGATTCACTATGGAACTAGCTCCTGTAACACACCCATCCCTCGATTTGACTTTTTCTTCTCAAAAGTTCGAAAAATTATTTGTAGCCACTCTTTGTTTCGCCTATATTTTTTTAATACTTTGAATTTTCTTTTCTCCATTTATATTTTTTTATAATTTTTCAACAAATTTTTATTATTTAAAGGCTATGGCTAGAGACAATATTGATGTCAATGATCGACAACTTGCCTGTGCAAGGATTAATAGTCAAGAAGGACAGGATTATTTGAAGGGAATGGCTGCTTCAGCTAATTTTGCTTTTGTTAATCGCTCTTGTATGACATTCTGCATTAGGTTAAAAAAATTTTTTCTTTTGAATAACTGTTTCCTTTCTAATTATAAAAATATTTTCGGTTAAATTCCCCTTTTAGAATAAAATTTTTTTTAATTGTAACTTATCATCCGGCTCTGTGTCTGGTTGACGTTGGGCCTCAGAATTAGTTGACCACCTTTATGGGAGCCACAACATCTTTTTAAAAAAAAAGCAGACTGCCAACCAAAAAGCAGACACTGCCAACCATTTTTTTTTGTTGGGAGTACACCAAAACTAAACAAACATGGACGATTTCCTTTTGTAAACAACAATTCTGTTAATGTTCAATAAATGCCTTACTGTTTCCTCGATCTAAAAAAGTCGTATGGAAAGAATATGGCTGGGAAGTCCCATCCCAAAGTGTATTCCTTGCTCTTGTTATGGCTGGGTCTTCCATTTCATTCTCCTTCGATCACTTTATGATAACGATTTTTAAAGCTTTTAATGTTTTTTTCTTATTTAGACAGGTAATCTTCATTGACTTCTCTTTGTGGTTATTTAATCAACTTTTTTAAAAGGCTTTTGCTAAAGTATTTAACTCATCTCCAGATGATCTGGATATGCATGTAATTTATGACGTCAGGTTTCCTTTTAAATTTTATTAATTATTATTATTATTTTCCCCATTTTAAAGCCACAACATTGCAAAAATTGAAGAACATTTGATTGATGGAAGGCCAAAACAGCTCTGTGTGCATCGGAAAGGATCTACAAGAGCTTTTCCTCCACATCATCCGCTGGTATTTTTTAAACTTAATTTCGTTGATCTTATAATTTGATTGGAGGGATCCCCAACAAAGGGATGGTTCGAATCTGTATCAGTTCACAGCTCGGCTGAGTCCGGCCATATAATTAAAGAAGAGTTAAATAATTTTCAGTGTTCTTGGTACCATTGTAAAGAATTGAATGCACTACAATATACCGAAAAATCAAAATTCTTGATTGTTTATAAAAAATCAACTAATGTAAGGACTAATTCAATATAATGATTTTTCGAACCTTATCAGGATAAACTTTTCTATCGAACAGTCGAGGTTTTGATTTATTGACATCTTGTAGTGTATTTATAATTCTTAAACCATTGGTACCCAGCATATTAAGAGGTACCAATTCCTTCATATATTATAGTAACCGGGACTTATTGCGTCTGGCTCACAATCAGTTGAGGTTCACTCGTTCGAATCTTATTTGGAATCCGATTATCTCTCCGCATTTTTTTCAACTTTCTTTTTAGTTTTTCCCCTAGAAACAGGACGTAAACGATATTTCTGTGGCCAGCATTTCTTTCCCGCAATTTTAGATCGTGGAACAATAAAGCATTTTTCGAAGATTAACCGAATTTATGTTTATAAAAGAAGCTAAAGGTGATATTCTTGAATTTAAGTTTAAGAAAATAGGTAGACCACAGAAATGTCTAAAAGAGAAAAAAAAGTATGAAAAATAAATGCGGGAGTGTTAAATAGGATATTGCCGATTTTCTACTAATATATTTTAATAATTTTATTTTTAGATCCCAGTCGATTATCAACTTACTGGCCAGCCGGTATGTATTTTTAATTTTTATTTTCATTCTAGGGGTTACTGGTATTGCTCCCTTCCATTTACGTATAGTTTATTCGTTTCGGTATTGAATAACCGAGGATTTTTCGGTTGGGTCATACGACTGGGTTTTCGGTTTTGCAAGAGTTTCAATGAACCGACGACCCTATTTATAAAGTTAGATTCTGCTCAAGACCTAATTTGGAGATGATTTAGGTTTGACCACTTTTCTCTTTTACTCTGCGTCCTAATTACATTTTAGTCTAAATTTAATTTGGGCGACAAATGTAATTTGGACGGAGACATAAATTCTCTTTGAACGGGGATTCAATTGACTAACTTTATTATAACCTTTGTGACAATAAATAATCAGAAATAAATATTCATTTTTAGGTTTTAATTGGAGGAACAATGGGAACTTGCAGCTATGTTTTGACTGGGACTGAATTTGGATTTGGAGAAACTTTTGGGACAACATGTCACGGAGCGGTTCATTTTAATTTAAAATTTTTTTATAAATATTAAAAAAATTTAAGGGTCGAGCAATGTCTAGAGCAAAATCAAGACGGAATTTGGGGTTCGAAGAAGTCCTAGAAGCTCTTAAACAGCAAGGAATCTCTATTAGAGTGGCTTCACCAAAATTAGTTATGGAAGAGGTTAATAAAAAAATTTATTTTTTTAAAAATAGCGGAGGCGAGGAGGGACTTGATATTATTTTTGGGTAAGGGAGCTGGAGCTTCTGACGTGAAAGGTTGACGTAACCGAAAATAATTTTTGCATTTTTCGATAATGTGCCACTTAAATTGGGGTTGCCCCATGACTTTTTTCAAGATTCAATATTAAAACTTACAAATATTGGTATGGTAAATGTCGTTTCCTTCTCTACCCAATTTTTTGCAATCTTAACTGTAATATTAATTAATTGTCAGACTTTTTTTCTTTCATAAATTTTTATTTACTATTTTAAATTATTTATTTTCCCTTTAATTTTCCTTTATTATTCAATCAGTCAACTAATCCTCCTATTTGTAACCAATGTTGCGCAGTTCCAGATTTGCTCGCAAATTTTTTTCAGACTCCTAAAATTTTCAGACCCCTAATTTTGACGTCGTACTACTCTTATTTTTGTTACTGCTACCCCTATAATTTTGGAAGGCTAAAAACTCATATTTCCTCAGTTAAAAACTAAAAATTTTAAAAATACAATTAAATTTACAAAGTGATTATTTTGCGGAAAGAAATATACAAGAGTATTTTTTCACAATAGGAACAGAACCCAGCCGTAAATCAATAACACTTACGTTTAGCCAACCGCCCTAACCATTCGGCTACCAGTCCACTTAAGGGTATACAAAAGAATTATACATATTTTATTCAATTTTGCCTGACTGAATAATAAGGGAATTTTGAATAATAAGGGAAAGTGAATAAAAATAAAGTGTATTTATCGAAACTAAAGTAAATTTATGGAAAGAAAAAATTCTTACGATACGTATATATTAAAAAAATTGGATGGAGAAGGGGAACGACATAAGTACCGGATATTAAACTACCTTATCTCCAACTCCTAATAATTTTGAAAATAATTTTTAGGCTCCACAATCTTATAAAAATGTAACGGATGTAGTCAATACATGCCATCAGGCAGGAATATCCAAGAAAGCCGTAAAACTTAGACCGATTGCTGTGATTAAGGGATAAAATTAATTTTAATTTGTTTATTTTATTTGTTTAAATAATTTATTTTTGTTTTTATTTTAAAATTTTAAGTCTGATAAATTTTGAGATGGTGATTTTTCATTTTAAATTTGTAAATTTTTCAATTATTTTATCTCGTGGAATGATATTTTTATTTTTAAATGTATTCGCGTAAAAGGTAATACTTAGGTTTTTCTGTTTTAGATAGGCTTTAGCTGTGTGGGTAGTATTTTGGGCCATAATTTTTTGATTATCTAGCAGGGCTAATTTGGTCAAATAATCCTAGGGAAAGTTTTAGAACAAGGGCAGGCATAGGGACCCAACCTGGGGCGTTCTGTAATCTTTGTGGTTCTTTTTTAAACTGTTAAGCTTTGGCTATATGTTGGGGGCATATCCTTTTGCTTATAATTTTTACAAACCGTAGAAAATTGTTTATAGTAATCGAAATTCAACTAAATAAGCCAAAAGTTGATTTGCCCCATGGCCCCCTTATTTAAAAGAAGTTTGAAATTTCAAAGCAAACACTGATACCAAAAACACATTTACCCCAAAGTATTACCAAAAAATCTTTCTTTTTTATTATATTGTTTTCCGATTAAGTACTCCCTCCATTAAACAACAATAACAACCCATCACTACTACCAGTTCAAATTTTAAAACTTGAATAATTACCCACTCTCTATTAATTACCCCCTCCAGCGACAGATTGAAACAGGACACCAAGGGTAGTTATTCAAGAAAATACAGTAATCTATGTAATATCATTTAATTAATTTTTAGTACATTAATTAAAATGGTCTATGAAGTTGCTAGAACCCTCACCAATATAAATATATATAACAATTGGGCCAGGATGAACTTACACAACTGGCGACGACTTTTTCGACGACGGTTAAGAGACGGTCCTGCCGTCTACTATAGTTGTAGAGTTAGTATTTTTTTAATCTTAAGTAGTTTTAAATTGATTTTGAAATTTTTCTTCATTTTTTCGATTTTTTTGCTAAAAAATTAATAAATTTTTAAATGATACCCCACACATTTACAGATTCATGTTATTATGGTGGCGGGGAGATGGAGAAACTGTTTATGTAGACTTAGAGTTCAGTTCTTGGACACGGGGGAAGTAACACTGGCTTACCAAAATAGGCACAATGAAACAGAAGTTCTTTTCCCTAAAATTTAATTTTGAAAAAAAATTTAGAAAAAAAACCCTGACAAGGAACGAGATGATCGCGAAGATGATCACGAACGAGAAGTTAAACTTACTTTTCAATTAATTAACCAATTAAAACAATTTAGCAAAAAACTCCTCCACATGTTTGGGATTGCCCTATTTTTCCGGAGGGGCCTGGAGCAAAAATTAGTGATCCGACATTACGTGGACCAACTCCTGGTGGCACTCTTGTTAGTTTTTAAACTTTACATTAAAATTATAATCTGATCGTGTTAAATATTTAAAAATTTCCCCCTTTTTTGGTTGATTGTTCCGTAGGGCAGAATTGATTAAAAAAGCATCCCCTTGTAAATAAAGATGCTTTATTTTGTATATAATAATTAAATTATTTTAAATTAAGGAAGTAAAACAATGGGGTTCTCGTTCAATTGCTGATTTAACTAAATTTCTTGATGTTTTTGCTTTTCGAAAACAGCAAAATAATCAAAAACAACAACAAACACTTGGATTTAATTTTTATGGAATGAGTCAAGTACAGTACAGCATTTATGCACATTCTAATTTTCTTGACGTTTTTTGGAGCTTAACAACAGCTATTGAAGTTAGATTATATGATGATAAATTAGCTACTTTCAGGGAATTTTTGGATAAAACACAGGTAATTTTAATTATATTTTAATTAGATTGTTGGTAGATTATAATATAGTAGTAAAAGATTGAAAAGTTTATACTAAATTGAATCTAATATGTGGAAATAGTACGGGTAAAATGGGGGTGATTTTGATAATGGAAACTTTCCTATTATCATTAGAGTTCGGTTATAATTAGGTTATTAATTATAGGCTAAATAATAATAGTGTTATACCCATACACAAACTTTAAATAGACTATAATATTTATGAACTATAACTATAATATAAACTAAACTATAACTATAATTCTATCATCAATAACAAATTGGAATGATGTTCAAATAATTTGTATTCTTATTTTTAGTATACCGAAGACAATGTTGCTAGTTATGAATGGATATTTGGGACAGATTTTACCAGCCCAGGTTTTGCTTTTTAAAATTAGTAATTACTTTTAAAATCACAATAATCAGGTGGAGTAAATGAAAACAGAAGAGTACTTAAATATTTCCGTCATTTACGCCCAGGCCAACAAATGCTTGATATTGGTGTTGGAATTGGTGGTGGAGCTAGACAAGCTGCTAGGGTTTTTATTTTTTTTTAAATAAAAATGTTTAAACTGAAATACTAATAACAAAAAAGTTATTAAAATTAGAGGAGCTTTATCTAATTAAGAGAGATGTTGAGTGATTGAATCCCTATAAGCGAGTGATTGAATGGCCTTAATAAGGCTCTAGCTCATTTTTACTACTCCGGAATCACACTAGTTTCTCATGGATTACACCCCTTAGTCTCATATCAACCACAAAATTAACATTTTCCTTCAAGGAGTTTGGTCTTCAAGTACTTGGTTGTGATCTTTCTTCAAATATGATTCAACATGCTTTTGATCGTAATCAACGTGACAAAGATCATCGTGTTGAATATCAAATTGCTGATGCTATGGTTTATCGTTATGAAGCTAATGCTTTTGATATTGTATTTGGTAGAGATTGTATTCAACATATTAAAGACACAAAAAGATTATTTAGAAATATTTATGTAAAAGAATTTATTTTTTTGGAAATCTTTAAAAATTTCTTTTTTTAAAGACATGGCTTAAACCTGGTGGACGAGTACTTGATACAATGTATGGAAAAGGACATGGAGTTCTCTCTCCAAAATTTCATGAATATGTTCGTAAACGGCAATATGCACTAAAAACTTTGGAAGAATATAGAGAAGTTGGATTGGATTTTGATATTTTTTGTTAATTTAAGAAAATTTTTAGATTGCTCATAGTGTTGGGTTAACAAATATTTACACAGAAAATATGACTAAACGTTTGAGAGAAATTTTAGTAATTGAACGTGATAGAGCAGTTGAAAATAAAGAGGAATTTATTCAAGTCGGAAATTAACTAATATCAAAAATTTATTTAAATTTTTTCAGAAATTTAGTGAAAAACGTTATTCAAAATTAGTTGAGGGTTGGGCAGATAAATTACAATTTGTTGATGAAGATAATCAAAATTGGTTGTTACTTCGTGCGGAGAAACCGGTGCATCCACATGCTTATTTAACAGAAGCTGGAGCCTAAAACAAATTATTTTAGATAAAAAATGATGAAAAAAAATTATTTTTTAAAATTTTGTATATCAAATATATTACAAATAAATTTATAAAAAGATTTAATTAATTAAAGAAGTCCCCAAAAGCGTTGCTATTCAGGGGCGGTATTCTAAGAACGAGGTTGCGGGTTAACCAACCCTCAGCTGCGGGTAGGTTAACCCAGAACCCTTATTCCAGAATGCGGGTAAGGGTAACCCGCAGCTGTGGTTAGTTACCCGGGTAATAGAACCCGCATCTGCGGGTAAAATTTGTACCCTGCTCCGATGAGGGTTAAAATCTTACCCGCATCTTTTTAAAAATTTTTTAAAAATCCTAATTCAACCTAAAAATTCCAAATTAAATATTTTTAGGTAGGATAGAGTGTGCTCTATTTTTTGATATAATTTATAAAAATTTTTGTTTAAAAATAAATTTACTATGCCCTCTCGCGTAAAGTACCCCATTCTTAAGCGAAAAAGGGACTCATTCTCTCCAATAGGCATTTTTTTATTTGTTATTTTTTGATTATTTCAATCAGTCATCTTTTAAATTTATGTTTTAGGATAGTTAAGCTAAAATCCTGATTTTTAATTATCGTATGTAAAACACTCTCCTCTATCTATTGGCATAAAAATAGGAGGGATTAAAGGGATATCGGTGGATTACGGGGATCAGGGGAATATCAAAGGTATATGGAGAGACCTACCGCCTTTTTTCTATTAGCAAGATTAAGTGGAATATCTTTCGAGTTCGAGGTATTAAAAAAGGAGAGGGATTAAAGTGGATATAAGGATGAGACTACTACTCTAACTCTCCAAATCCATTGAGATCCCTCCAAATCCACCAAAATCCCTTTAATCCACCGATATCGCTTTAATCCCTCCAATTTTTATACTAATAAATAGAGGAGAGTGTTTTACATACTATAATTAAAAATCAGAATTTTAGCTTAACTTTCCTATGAGTTACAAAATTTAAAAGCAGGCAAAAATTTGAGAATTTTGAAGGTCCTTAAGTCAGATTTCTTCCATTTTTTGCCCCGCAGGCGAAAATTTTTTGAAAATTCATAACTAAATTTAAATTTTTATTGTTTTTTCAGGTTTAAAATATTAAAAAAATAAATTTGAAAATTTAAACTGAAAATCAAAGTTTAAAAACATTTATTTTTTAAAAGAAAAAATTTTTAAGCCTCATTTCCAGCCTTGGATTCGAACCAAACCCTTAAAAATATACCAGTGATTGAAGTCAGTCACCTTAACCATTGAGCCACACATCAACATGAGGAACGTGTCCGGACAATGCGTCAGTGGACAATGCGTCAGTGGAAGATGCGTCAGTGGACAATCGGTCAGTATTGATAAAAAGTGATTAAAAGTGATGATGTAAAGAGATAAAAAATGATATAAAAGGACTAAAGATGGTATGTAAACAGATTAGGAGTATTTAAAAAGGGATTTTGGAGTTTAAAAGAGATATAAAGGGATTTGTTGGGATTAAGGCCGATATCTCGGGTTTGGGAGGATTAACAAAGATATTAAGTTACTTGGTTGGATTAAGATGGGGATTAGCCGATTTGAAGGCTTCTATTGGAGACAATACGGTATTTTAATTTAAACCTTTTCGTAAAACTTTCCACCATTAAACCATTTACTCCATATTTTTTCAGAAAATATTTTTAATTTATCTTTATCATCTTTATACTTCTTTAATTCCTTAAATTCTTCTTGTAATTCATTAAATTTAACAATTCCTTTAATCTATAAAATTTTAATTAATTTTTAATAAATTTTATTAAATTACCATTTTTTATTTCTTCTTTAATTATTTTTTCTGTACTTTTGTTTATATTAAATCCAACATTCTGTACAGGAAATCCAGGTGATATAATTTTCCAAATAGATTTTTCATTTGATTTTTCTTTAATTTTATTCGATTCTGTTTCTTCTTCCAAACTAATTATTTTTTCTTTATTTAAAGGTAATTCTATCCATTCAATTAAATATTCAAATATATATTTAATTAAAAAAATTGTAGAAAATGTTGGATTTTCTATAATAATTTTACAAATAATAACTGTTAGGGAGGAACTAGATAAAAATCCAAATTGTCCGCCGTAAATGAAATTTTCTAAAAATTTTAAATATTTTCTTTTAATTTAAAAATGCGTTTTACCTTTTGCCCATAACTTTAAAGTTATGTGTATTAATCTGAATTTATACAAATTCTCCCTTTCTTTTAATAATTCTATTACACGCAAATTGGCTCTGAGACCTAGAATTATGAATTTTTTCATTAAAAATTAAATTAAAATTTTGTTAAGGAAATCCAGTTCATGTTCGGCGCAGATCTATTAAAAGAGAAAAAGCACCAAGTAACTTAATATCTTTGTTAATCCTCCCAAACCCGAGATATCGGCCTTAATCCCAACAAATCCCTTTATATCTCTTTTAAACTCCAAAATCCCTTTTTAAATACTCCTAATCTGTTTACATACCATCTTTAGTCCTTTTATATCATTTTTTATCTCTTTACATCATCACTTTTAATCACTTTTTATCAATACTGACCGATTGTCCACTGACGCATCTTCCACTGACGCATTGTCCACTGACGCATTGTCCGGACACGTTCCTCATGTTGATGTGTGGCTCAATGGTTAAGGTGACTGACTTCAATCACTGGTATATTTTTAAGGGTTTGGTTCGAATCCAAGGCTGGAAATGAGGCTTAAAAATTTTTTCTTTTAAAAAATAAATGTTTTTAAACTTTGATTTTCAGTTTAAATTTTCAAATTTATTTTTTTAATATTTTAAACCTGAAAAAACAATAAAAATTTAAATTTAGTTATGAATTTTCAAAAAATTTTCGCCTGCGGGGCAAAAAATGGAAGAAATCTGACTTAAGGACCTTCAAAAAGGACCTTCGAAATGACTTAAGGACCTTCGAAATCTGACTTAAGGACCTTTTGCTTATAATTTTTACAAACCGTAGAAAATTGTTTATAGTAATCGAAATTCAACTAAATAAGCCAAAAGTTGATTTGCCCCATGGCCCCCTTATTTAAAAGAAGTTTGAAATTTCAAAGCAAACACTGATACCAAAAACACATTTACCCCAAAGTATTACCAAAAAATCTTTCTTTTTTATTATATTGTTTTCCGATTAAGTACTCCCTCCATTAAACAACAATAACAACCCATCACTACTACCAGTTCAAATTTTAAAACTTGAATAATTACCCACTCTCTATTAATTACCCCCTCCAGCGACAGATTGAAACAGGACACCAAGGGTAGTTATTCAAGAAAATACAGTAATCTGTGTAATATCATTTAATTAATTTTTAGTACATTAATTAAAATGGTCTATGAAGTTGCTAGAACCCTCACCAATATAAATATATATAACAATTGGGCCAGGATGAACTTACACAACTGGCGACGACTTTTTCGACGACGGTTAAGAGACGGTCCTGCCGTCTACTATAGTTGTAGAGTTAGTATTTTTTTAATCTTAAGTAGTTTTAAATTGATTTTGAAATTTTTCTTCATTTTTTCGATTTTTTTGCTAAAAAATTAATAAATTTTTAAATGATACCCCACACATTTACAGATTCATGTTATTATGGTGGCGGGGAGATGGAGAAACTGTTTATGTAGACTTAGAGTTCAGTTCTTGGACACGGGGGAAGTAACACTGGCTTACCAAAATAGGCACAATGAAACAGAAGTTCTTTTCCCTAAAATTTAATTTTGAAAAAAAATTTAGAAAAAAAACCCTGACAAGGAACGAGATGATCGCGAAGATGATCACGAACGAGAAGTTAAACTTACTTTTCAATTAATTAACCAATTAAAACAATTTAGCAAAAAACTCCTCCACATGTTTGGGATTGCCCTATTTTTCCGGAGGGGCCTGGAGCAAAAATTAGTGATCCGACATTACGTGGACCAACTCCTGGTGGCACTCTTGTTAGTTTTTAAACTTTACATTAAAATTATAATCTGATCGTGTTAAATATTTAAAAATTTCCCCCTTTTTTGGTTGATTGTTCCGTAGGGCAGAATTGATTAAAAAAGCATCCCCTTGTAAATAAAGATGCTTTATTTTGTATATAATAATTAAATTATTTTAAATTAAGGAAGTAAAACAATGGGGTTCTCGTTCAATTGCTGATTTAACTAAATTTCTTGATGTTTTTGCTTTTCGAAAACAGCAAAATAATCAAAAACAACAACAAACACTTGGATTTAATTTTTATGGAATGAGTCAAGTACAGTACAGCATTTATGCACATTCTAATTTTCTTGACGTTTTTTGGAGCTTAACAACAGCTATTGAAGTTAGATTATATGATGATAAATTAGCTACTTTCAGGGAATTTTTGGATAAAACACAGGTAATTTTAATTATATTTTAATTAGATTGTTGGTAGATTATAATATAGTAGTAAAAGATTGAAAAGTTTATACTAAATTGAATCTAATATGTGGAAATAGTACGGGTAAAATGGGGGTGATTTTGATAATGGAAACTTTCCTATTATCATTAGAGTTCGGTTATAATTAGGTTATTAATTATAGGCTAAATAATAATAGTGTTATACCCATACACAAACTTTAAATAGACTATAATATTTATGAACTATAACTATAATATAAACTAAACTATAACTATAATTCTATCATCAATAACAAATTGGAATGATGTTCAAATAATTTGTATTCTTATTTTTAGTATACCGAAGACAATGTTGCTAGTTATGAATGGATATTTGGGACAGATTTTACCAGCCCAGGTTTTGCTTTTTAAAATTAGTAATTACTTTTAAAATCACAATAATCAGGTGGAGTAAATGAAAACAGAAGAGTACTTAAATATTTCCGTCATTTACGCCCAGGCCAACAAATGCTTGATATTGGTGTTGGAATTGGTGGTGGAGCTAGACAAGCTGCTAGGGTTTTTATTTTTTTTTAAATAAAAATGTTTAAACTGAAATACTAATAACAAAAAAGTTATTAAAATTAGAGGAGCTTTATCTAATTAAGAGAGATGTTGAGTGATTGAATCCCTATAAGCGAGTGATTGAATGGCCTTAATAAGGCTCTAGCTCATTTTTACTACTCCGGAATCACACTAGTTTCTCATGGATTACACCCCTTAGTCTCATATCAACCACAAAATTAACATTTTCCTTCAAGGAGTTTGGTCTTCAAGTACTTGGTTGTGATCTTTCTTCAAATATGATTCAACATGCTTTTGATCGTAATCAACGTGACAAAGATCATCGTGTTGAATATCAAATTGCTGATGCTATGGTTTATCGTTATGAAGCTAATGCTTTTGATATTGTATTTGGTAGAGATTGTATTCAACATATTAAAGACACAAAAAGATTATTTAGAAATATTTATGTAAAAGAATTTATTTTTTTGGAAATCTTTAAAAATTTCTTTTTTTAAAGACATGGCTTAAACCTGGTGGACGAGTACTTGATACAATGTATGGAAAAGGACATGGAGTTCTCTCTCCAAAATTTCATGAATATGTTCGTAAACGGCAATATGCACTAAAAACTTTGGAAGAATATAGAGAAGTTGGATTGGATTTTGATATTTTTTGTTAATTTAAGAAAATTTTTAGATTGCTCATAGTGTTGGGTTAACAAATATTTACACAGAAAATATGACTAAACGTTTGAGAGAAATTTTAGTAATTGAACGTGATAGAGCAGTTGAAAATAAAGAGGAATTTATTCAAGTCGGAAATTAACTAATATCAAAAATTTATTTAAATTTTTTCAGAAATTTAGTGAAAAACGTTATTCAAAATTAGTTGAGGGTTGGGCAGATAAATTACAATTTGTTGATGAAGATAATCAAAATTGGTTGTTACTTCGTGCGGAGAAACCGGTGCATCCACATGCTTATTTAACAGAAGCTGGAGCCTAAAACAAATTATTTTAGATAAAAAATGATGAAAAAAAATTATTTTTTAAAATTTTGTATATCAAATATATTACAAATAAATTTATAAAAAGATTTAATTAATTAAAGAAGTCCCCAAAAGCGTTGCTATTCAGGGGCGGTATTCTAAGAACGAGGTTGCGGGTTAACCAACCCTCAGCTGCGGGTAGGTTAACCCAGAACCCTTATTCCAGAATGCGGGTAAGGGTAACCCGCAGCTGTGGTTAGTTACCCGGGTAATAGAACCCGCATCTGCGGGTAAAATTTGTACCCTGCTCCGATGAGGGTTAAAATCTTACCCGCATCTTTTTAAAAATTTTTTAAAAATCCTAATTCAACCTAAAAATTCCAAATTAAATATTTTTAGGTAGGATAGAGTGTGCTCTATTTTTTGATATAATTTATAAAAATTTTTGTTTAAAAATAAATTTACTATGCCCTCTCGCGTAAAGTACCCCATTCTTAAGCGAAAAAGGGACTCATTCTCTCCAATAGGCATTTTTTTATTTGTTATTTTTTGATTATTTCAATCAGTCATCTTTTAAATTTATGTTTTAGGATAGTTAAGCTAAAATCCTGATTTTTAATTATCGTATGTAAAACACTCTCCTCTATCTATTGGCATAAAAATAGGAGGGATTAAAGGGATATCGGTGGATTACGGGGATCAGGGGAATATCAAAGGTATATGGAGAGACCTACCGCCTTTTTTCTATTAGCAAGATTAAGTGGAATATCTTTCGAGTTCGAGGTATTAAAAAAGGAGAGGGATTAAAGTGGATATAAGGATGAGACTACTACTCTAACTCTCCAAATCCATTGAGATCCCTCCAAATCCACCAAAATCCCTTTAATCCACCGATATCGCTTTAATCCCTCCAATTTTTATACTAATAAATAGAGGAGAGTGTTTTACATACTATAATTAAAAATCAGAATTTTAGCTTAACTTTCCTATGAGTTACAAAATTTAAAAGCAGGCAAAAATTTGAGAATTTTGAAGGTCCTTAAGTCAGATTTCTTCCATTTTTTGCCCCGCAGGCGAAAATTTTTTGAAAATTCATAACTAAATTTAAATTTTTATTGTTTTTTCAGGTTTAAAATATTAAAAAAATAAATTTGAAAATTTAAACTGAAAATCAAAGTTTAAAAACATTTATTTTTTAAAAGAAAAAATTTTTAAGCCTCATTTCCAGCCTTGGATTCGAACCAAACCCTTAAAAATATACCAGTGATTGAAGTCAGTCACCTTAACCATTGAGCCACACATCAACATGAGGAACGTGTCCGGACAATGCGTCAGTGGACAATGCGTCAGTGGAAGATGCGTCAGTGGACAATCGGTCAGTATTGATAAAAAGTGATTAAAAGTGATGATGTAAAGAGATAAAAAATGATATAAAAGGACTAAAGATGGTATGTAAACAGATTAGGAGTATTTAAAAAGGGATTTTGGAGTTTAAAAGAGATATAAAGGGATTTGTTGGGATTAAGGCCGATATCTCGGGTTTGGGAGGATTAACAAAGATATTAAGTTACTTGGTTGGATTAAGATGGGGATTAGCCGATTTGAAGGCTTCTATTGGAGACAATACGGTATTTTAATTTAAACCTTTTCGTAAAACTTTCCACCATTAAACCATTTACTCCATATTTTTTCAGAAAATATTTTTAATTTATCTTTATCATCTTTATACTTCTTTAATTCCTTAAATTCTTCTTGTAATTCATTAAATTTAACAATTCCTTTAATCTATAAAATTTTAATTAATTTTTAATAAATTTTATTAAATTACCATTTTTTATTTCTTCTTTAATTATTTTTTCTGTACTTTTGTTTATATTAAATCCAACATTCTGTACAGGAAATCCAGGTGATATAATTTTCCAAATAGATTTTTCATTTGATTTTTCTTTAATTTTATTCGATTCTGTTTCTTCTTCCAAACTAATTATTTTTTCTTTATTTAAAGGTAATTCTATCCATTCAATTAAATATTCAAATATATATTTAATTAAAAAAATTGTAGAAAATGTTGGATTTTCTATAATAATTTTACAAATAATAACTGTTAGGGAGGAACTAGATAAAAATCCAAATTGTCCGCCGTAAATGAAATTTTCTAAAAATTTTAAATATTTTCTTTTAATTTAAAAATGCGTTTTACCTTTTGCCCATAACTTTAAAGTTATGTGTATTAATCTGAATTTATACAAATTCTCCCTTTCTTTTAATAATTCTATTACACGCAAATTGGCTCTGAGACCTAGAATTATGAATTTTTTCATTAAAAATTAAATTAAAATTTTGTTAAGGAAATCCAGTTCATGTTCGGCGCAGATCTATTAAAAGAGAAAAAGCACCAAGTAACTTAATATCTTTGTTAATCCTCCCAAACCCGAGATATCGGCCTTAATCCCAACAAATCCCTTTATATCTCTTTTAAACTCCAAAATCCCTTTTTAAATACTCCTAATCTGTTTACATACCATCTTTAGTCCTTTTATATCATTTTTATATCATTCTTCCAAAGTTTTTAGTGCATATTGCCGTTTACGAACATATTCATGAAATTTTGGAGAGAGAACTCCATGTCCTTTTCCATACATTGTATCAAGTACTCGTCCACCAGGTTTAAGCCATGTCTTTAAAAAAAGAAATTTTTAAAGATTTCCAAAAAAATAAATTCTTTTACATAAATATTTCTAAATAATCTTTTTGTGTCTTTAATATGTTGAATACAATCTCTACCAAATACAATATCAAAAGCATTAGCTTCATAACGATAAACCATAGCATCAGCAATTTGATATTCAACACGATGATCTTTGTCACGTTGATTACGATCAAAAGCATGTTGAATCATATTTGAAGAAAGATCACAACCAAGTACTTGAAGACCAAACTCCTTGAAGGAAAATGTTAATTTTGTGGTTGATATGAGACTAAGGGGTGTAATCCATGAGAAACTAGTGTGATTCCGGAGTAGTAAAAATGAGCTAGAGCCTTATTAAGGCCATTCAATCACTCGCTTATAGGGATTCAATCACTCAACATCTCTCTTAATTAGATAAAGCTCCTCTAATTTTAATAACTTTTTTGTTATTAGTATTTCAGTTTAAACATTTTTATTTAAAAAAAAATAAAAACCCTAGCAGCTTGTCTAGCTCCACCACCAATTCCAACACCAATATCAAGCATTTGTTGGCCTGGGCGTAAATGACGGAAATATTTAAGTACTCTTCTGTTTTCATTTACTCCACCTGATTATTGTGATTTTAAAAGTAATTACTAATTTTAAAAAGCAAAACCTGGGCTGGTAAAATCTGTCCCAAATATCCATTCATAACTAGCAACATTGTCTTCGGTATACTAAAAATAAGAATACAAATTATTTGAACATCATTCCAATTTGTTATTGATGATAGAATTATAGTTATAGTTTAGTTTATATTATAGTTATAGTTCATAAATATTATAGTCTATTTAAAGTTTGTGTATGGGTATAACACTATTATTATTTAGCCTATAATTAATAACCTAATTATAACCGAACTCTAATGATAATAGGAAAGTTTCCATTATCAAAATCACCCCCATTTTACCCGTACTATTTCCACATATTAGATTCAATTTAGTATAAACTTTTCAATCTTTTACTACTATATTATAATCTACCAACAATCTAATTAAAATATAATTAAAATTACCTGTGTTTTATCCAAAAATTCCCTGAAAGTAGCTAATTTATCATCATATAATCTAACTTCAATAGCTGTTGTTAAGCTCCAAAAAACGTCAAGAAAATTAGAATGTGCATAAATGCTGTACTGTACTTGACTCATTCCATAAAAATTAAATCCAAGTGTTTGTTGTTGTTTTTGATTATTTTGCTGTTTTCGAAAAGCAAAAACATCAAGAAATTTAGTTAAATCAGCAATTGAACGAGAACCCCATTGTTTTACTTCCTTAATTTAAAATAATTTAATTATTATATACAAAATAAAGCATCTTTATTTACAAGGGGATGCTTTTTTAATCAATTCTGCCCTACGGAACAATCAACCAAAAAAGGGGGAAATTTTTAAATATTTAACACGATCAGATTATAATTTTAATGTAAAGTTTAAAAACTAACAAGAGTGCCACCAGGAGTTGGTCCACGTAATGTCGGATCACTAATTTTTGCTCCAGGCCCCTCCGGAAAAATAGGGCAATCCCAAACATGTGGAGGAGTTTTTTGCTAAATTGTTTTAATTGGTTAATTAATTGAAAAGTAAGTTTAACTTCTCGTTCGTGATCATCTTCGCGATCATCTCGTTCCTTGTCAGGGTTTTTTTTCTAAATTTTTTTTCAAAATTAAATTTTAGGGAAAAGAACTTCTGTTTCATTGTGCCTATTTTGGTAAGCCAGTGTTACTTCCCCCGTGTCCAAGAACTGAACTCTAAGTCTACATAAACAGTTTCTCCATCTCCCCGCCACCATAATAACATGAATCTGTAAATGTGTGGGGTATCATTTAAAAATTTATTAATTTTTTAGCAAAAAAATCGAAAAAATGAAGAAAAATTTCAAAATCAATTTAAAACTACTTAAGATTAAAAAAATACTAACTCTACAACTATAGTAGACGGCAGGACCGTCTCTTAACCGTCGTCGAAAAAGTCGTCGCCAGTTGTGTAAGTTCATCCTGGCCCAATTGTTATATATATTTATATTGGTGAGGGTTCTAGCAACTTCATAGACCATTTTAATTAATGTACTAAAAATTAATTAAATGATATTACACAGATTACTGTATTTTCTTGAATAACTACCCTTGGTGTCCTGTTTCAATCTGTCGCTGGAGGGGGTAATTAATAGAGAGTGGGTAATTATTCAAGTTTTAAAATTTGAACTGGTAGTAGTGATGGGTTGTTATTGTTGTTTAATGGAGGGAGTACTTAATCGGAAAACAATATAATAAAAAAGAAAGATTTTTTGGTAATACTTTGGGGTAAATGTGTTTTTGGTATCAGTGTTTGCTTTGAAATTTCAAACTTCTTTTAAATAAGGGGGCCATGGGGCAAATCAACTTTTGGCTTATTTAGTTGAATTTCGATTACTATAAACAATTTTCTACGGTTTGTAAAAATTATAAGCAAAAGGTCCTTAAGTCAGATTTCGAAGGTCCTTAAGTCATTTCGAAGGTCCTTTTTGAAGGTCCTTAAGTCAGATTTCTTCCATTTTTTGCCCCGCAGGCGAAAATTTTTTGAAAATTCATAACTAAATTTAAATTTTTATTGTTTTTTCAGGTTTAAAATATTAAAAAAATAAATTTGAAAATTTAAACTGAAAATCAAAGTTTAAAAACATTTATTTTTTAAAAGAAAAAATTTTTAAGCCTCATTTCCAGCCTTGGATTCGAACCAAACCCTTAAAAATATACCAGTGATTGAAGTCAGTCACCTTAACCATTGAGCCACACATCAACATGAGGAACGTGTCCGGACAATGCGTCAGTGGACAATGCGTCAGTGGAAGATGCGTCAGTGGACAATCGGTCAGTATTGATAAAAAGTGATTAAAAGTGATGATGTAAAGAGATAAAAAATGATATAAAAGGACTAAAGATGGTATGTAAACAGATTAGGAGTATTTAAAAAGGGATTTTGGAGTTTAAAAGAGATATAAAGGGATTTGTTGGGATTAAGGCCGATATCTCGGGTTTGGGAGGATTAACAAAGATATTAAGTTACTTGGTGCTTTTTCTCTTTTAATAGATCTGCGCCGAACATGAACTGGATTTCCTTAACAAAATTTTAATTTAATTTTTAATGAAAAAATTCATAATTCTAGGTCTCAGAGCCAATTTGCGTGTAATAGAATTATTAAAAGAAAGGGAGAATTTGTATAAATTCAGATTAATACACATAACTTTAAAGTTATGGGCAAAAGGTAAAACGCATTTTTAAATTAAAAGAAAATATTTAAAATTTTTAGAAAATTTCATTTACGGCGGACAATTTGGATTTTTATCTAGTTCCTCCCTAACAGTTATTATTTGTAAAATTATTATAGAAAATCCAACATTTTCTACAATTTTTTTAATTAAATATATATTTGAATATTTAATTGAATGGATAGAATTACCTTTAAATAAAGAAAAAATAATTAGTTTGGAAGAAGAAACAGAATCGAATAAAATTAAAGAAAAATCAAATGAAAAATCTATTTGGAAAATTATATCACCTGGATTTCCTGTACAGAATGTTGGATTTAATATAAACAAAAGTACAGAAAAAATAATTAAAGAAGAAATAAAAAATGGTAATTTAATAAAATTTATTAAAAATTAATTAAAATTTTATAGATTAAAGGAATTGTTAAATTTAATGAATTACAAGAAGAATTTAAGGAATTAAAGAAGTATAAAGATGATAAAGATAAATTAAAAATATTTTCTGAAAAAATATGGAGTAAATGGTTTAATGGTGGAAAGTTTTACGAAAAGGTTTAAATTAAAATACCGTATTGTCTCCAATAGAAGCCTTCAAATCGGCTAATCCCCATCTTAATCCAACCAAGTAACTTAATATCTTTGTTAATCCTCCCAAACCCGAGATATCGGCCTTAATCCCAACAAATCCCTTTATATCTCTTTTAAACTCCAAAATCCCTTTTTAAATACTCCTAATCTGTTTACATACCATCTTTAGTCCTTTTATATCATTTTTTATCTCTTTACATCATCACTTTTAATCACTTTTTATCAATACTGACCGATTGTCCACTGACGCATCTTCCACTGACGCATTGTCCACTGACGCATTGTCCGGACACGTTCCTCATGTTGATGTGTGGCTCAATGGTTAAGGTGACTGACTTCAATCACTGGTATATTTTTAAGGGTTTGGTTCGAATCCAAGGCTGGAAATGAGGCTTAAAAATTTTTTCTTTTAAAAAATAAATGTTTTTAAACTTTGATTTTCAGTTTAAATTTTCAAATTTATTTTTTTAATATTTTAAACCTGAAAAAACAATAAAAATTTAAATTTAGTTATGAATTTTCAAAAAATTTTCGCCTGCGGGGCAAAAAATGGAAGAAATCTGACTTAAGGACCTTCAAAATTCTCAAATTTTTGCCTGCTTTTAAATTTTGTAACTCATAGGAAAGTTAAGCTAAAATTCTGATTTTTAATTATAGTATGTAAAACACTCTCCTCTATTTATTAGTATAAAAATTGGAGGGATTAAAGCGATATCGGTGGATTAAAGGGATTTTGGTGGATTTGGAGGGATCTCAATGGATTTGGAGAGTTAGAGTAGTAGTCTCATCCTTATATCCACTTTAATCCCTCTCCTTTTTTAATACCTCGAACTCGAAAGATATTCCACTTAATCTTGCTAATAGAAAAAAGGCGGTAGGTCTCTCCATATACCTTTGATATTCCCCTGATCCCCGTAATCCACCGATATCCCTTTAATCCCTCCTATTTTTATGCCAATAGATAGAGGAGAGTGTTTTACATACGATAATTAAAAATCAGGATTTTAGCTTAACTATCCTAAAACATAAATTTAAAAGATGACTGATTGAAATAATCAAAAAATAACAAATAAAAAAATGCCTATTGGAGAGAATGAGTCCCTTTTTCGCTTAAGAATGGGGTACTTTACGCGAGAGGGCATAGTAAATTTATTTTTAAACAAAAATTTTTATAAATTATATCAAAAAATAGAGCACACTCTATCCTACCTAAAAATATTTAATTTGGAATTTTTAGGTTGAATTAGGATTTTTAAAAAATTTTTAAAAAGATGCGGGTAAGATTTTAACCCTCATCGGAGCAGGGTACAAATTTTACCCGCAGATGCGGGTTCTATTACCCGGGTAACTAACCACAGCTGCGGGTTACCCTTACCCGCATTCTGGAATAAGGGTTCTGGGTTAACCTACCCGCAGCTGAGGGTTGGTTAACCCGCAACCTCGTTCTTAGAATACCGCCCCTGAATAGCAACGCTTTTGGGGACTTCTTTAATTAATTAAATCTTTTTATAAATTTATTTGTAATATATTTGATATACAAAATTTTAAAAAATAATTTTTTTTCATCATTTTTTATCTAAAATAATTTGTTTTAGGCTCCAGCTTCTGTTAAATAAGCATGTGGATGCACCGGTTTCTCCGCACGAAGTAACAACCAATTTTGATTATCTTCATCAACAAATTGTAATTTATCTGCCCAACCCTCAACTAATTTTGAATAACGTTTTTCACTAAATTTCTGAAAAAATTTAAATAAATTTTTGATATTAGTTAATTTCCGACTTGAATAAATTCCTCTTTATTTTCAACTGCTCTATCACGTTCAATTACTAAAATTTCTCTCAAACGTTTAGTCATATTTTCTGTGTAAATATTTGTTAACCCAACACTATGAGCAATCTAAAAATTTTCTTAAATTAACAAAAAATATCAAAATCCAATCCAACTTCTCTATATTCTTCCAAAGTTTTTAGTGCATATTGCCGTTTACGAACATATTCATGAAATTTTGGAGAGAGAACTCCATGTCCTTTTCCATACATTGTATCAAGTACTCGTCCACCAGGTTTAAGCCATGTCTTTAAAAAAAGAAATTTTTAAAGATTTCCAAAAAAATAAATTCTTTTACATAAATATTTCTAAATAATCTTTTTGTGTCTTTAATATGTTGAATACAATCTCTACCAAATACAATATCAAAAGCATTAGCTTCATAACGATAAACCATAGCATCAGCAATTTGATATTCAACACGATGATCTTTGTCACGTTGATTACGATCAAAAGCATGTTGAATCATATTTGAAGAAAGATCACAACCAAGTACTTGAAGACCAAACTCCTTGAAGGAAAATGTTAATTTTGTGGTTGATATGAGACTAAGGGGTGTAATCCATGAGAAACTAGTGTGATTCCGGAGTAGTAAAAATGAGCTAGAGCCTTATTAAGGCCATTCAATCACTCGCTTATAGGGATTCAATCACTCAACATCTCTCTTAATTAGATAAAGCTCCTCTAATTTTAATAACTTTTTTGTTATTAGTATTTCAGTTTAAACATTTTTATTTAAAAAAAATAAAAACCCTAGCAGCTTGTCTAGCTCCACCACCAATTCCAACACCAATATCAAGCATTTGTTGGCCTGGGCGTAAATGACGGAAATATTTAAGTACTCTTCTGTTTTCATTTACTCCACCTGATTATTGTGATTTTAAAAGTAATTACTAATTTTAAAAAGCAAAACCTGGGCTGGTAAAATCTGTCCCAAATATCCATTCATAACTAGCAACATTGTCTTCGGTATACTAAAAATAAGAATACAAATTATTTGAACATCATTCCAATTTGTTATTGATGATAGAATTATAGTTATAGTTTAGTTTATATTATAGTTATAGTTCATAAATATTATAGTCTATTTAAAGTTTGTGTATGGGTATAACACTATTATTATTTAGCCTATAATTAATAACCTAATTATAACCGAACTCTAATGATAATAGGAAAGTTTCCATTATCAAAATCACCCCCATTTTACCCGTACTATTTCCACATATTAGATTCAATTTAGTATAAACTTTTCAATCTTTTACTACTATATTATAATCTACCAACAATCTAATTAAAATATAATTAAAATTACCTGTGTTTTATCCAAAAATTCCCTGAAAGTAGCTAATTTATCATCATATAATCTAACTTCAATAGCTGTTGTTAAGCTCCAAAAAACGTCAAGAAAATTAGAATGTGCATAAATGCTGTACTGTACTTGACTCATTCCATAAAAATTAAATCCAAGTGTTTGTTGTTGTTTTTGATTATTTTGCTGTTTTCGAAAAGCAAAAACATCAAGAAATTTAGTATATATCATTCCACGATACAATTATTTGGGGACAATTATTTGGGGACAATTATTTTGGGGACAATTATTTGGGGACAATTATTTGGGGACAATTATATTGGGGACAATTATTTGGGGACAATTATTTGGGGACAATTATTTGGGGACAATTATTTTGGGGACAATTATTTGGGGACAATTATTTGGGGACAATTATTTTGGGGACAATTATTTGGGGACAATTATTTGGGGACAATTATTTGGGGACAATTATTTGGGGACAATTATTTTGGGGACAATTATTTGGGGACAATTATTTGGGGACAATTATTTGGGGACAATTATTTTGGGGACAATTATTTGGGGACAATTATTTTGGGGACAATTATTTGGGGACAATTATTTGGGGACAATTATTTTGAGGACAATTATTTGGGGACAATTATTTTGGGGACAATTATTTGGGGACATTTATTTGGGGACAATTATTTGGGGACAATTATTTGGGGACAATTATTTTGGGGACAATTATTTGGGGACAATTATTTGGGGACAATTATTTTGGGGACAATTATTTGGGGACAATTATTTGGGGACAATTATTTGGGGACAATTATTTGGGGACAATTATTTTGGGGACAATTATTTGGGGACAATTATTTGGGGACAATTATTTGGGGACAACTATTTGGGGACAATTATTTGGGGACAATTATTTTGAGGACAATTATTTGGGGACAATTATTTTGGGGACAATTATTTGGGGACAATTATTTGGGGACAATTATTTGGGGACAATTATTTGGGGACAATTATTTTGGGGACAATTATTTGGGGACAATTATTTGGGGACAATTATATTGGGGACAATTATTTGGGGACAATTATTTGGGGACAATTATTTGGGGACAATTATTTGGGGACAATTATTTTGGGGACAATTATTTGGGGACAATTATTTGGGGACAATTATTTTGGGGACAATTATTTGTGGACAATTATTTGGGGACAATTATTTGGGGACAATTATTTGGGGACAATTATTTGGGGACAATTATTTGGGGACAATTATTTGGGGACAATTATTTTGGGGACAATTATTTGGGGACAATTATTTTGGGGACAATTATTTGGGGACAATTATTTGGGGACAATTATTTTGAGGACAATTATTTGGGGACAATTATTTGGGGACAATTATTTTGAGGACAATTATTTGGGGACAATTATTTTGGGGACAATTATTTGGGGACATTTATTTGGGGACAATTATTTGGGGACAATTATTTGGGGACAATTATTTTGGGGACAATTATTTGGGGACAATTATTTGGGGACAATTATTTTGGGGACAATTATTTGGGGACAATTATTTGGGGACAATTATTTGGGGACAATTATTTGGGGACAATTATTTTGGGGACAATTATTTGGGGACAATTATTTGGGGACAATTATTTGGGGACAATTATTTGGGGACAATTATTTGGGGACAATTATTTGGGGACAATTATTTGGGGAAAATTATTTTGGGGACAATTATTTTGGGGACAATTATTTGGGGACAATTATTTTGGGGACAATTATTTTGGGACAATTATTTGGGGACAATTATTTGGGGACAATTATTTTGGGGACAATTATTTGGGGACAATTATTTGGGGACAATTATTTGGGGACAATTATTTTGAGGACAATTATTTGGGGACAATTATTTGGGGACAATTATTTTGGGGACAATTATTTGGGGACAATTATTTGGGGACAATTATTTGGGGACAATTATTTGGGGACAATTATTTTGGGGACAATTATTTGGGGACAATTATTTGGGGACAATTATTTGGGGACAATTATTTGGGGACAATTATTTGGGGACAATTATTTGGGGACAATTATTTTGGGGACAATTATTTGGGGACAATTATTTGGGGACAATTATTTTGGGGACAATTATTTGGGGACAATTATTTGGGGACAATTATTTGGGGACAATTATTTGGGGACAATTATTTGGGGACAATTATTTGGGGACAATTATTTGGGGACAATTATTTTGGGGACAATTATTTGGGGACAATTATTTGGGGACAATTATTTTGGGGACAATTATTGGAGACAATTATTTGGGGACAATTATTTGGGGACAATTATTTGGGGACAATTATTTTGGGGACAATTATTTGGGGACAATTATTTTGGGGACAATTATTTGGGGACAATTATTTGGGGACAATTATTTGGGGACAATTATTTTGGGGACAATTATTTTGGGGACAATTATTTGGGGACAATTATTTGGGGACAATTATTTGGGGACAATTATTTGGGGACAATTATTTGGGGACAATTATTTTGGGGACAATTATTTGGGGACAATTATTTGGGGACAATTATTTTGGGGACAATTATTTGGGGACAATTATTTGGGGACAATTATTTGGGGACAATTATTTTGGGGACAATTATTTTAGGGACAATTATTTGGGGACAATTATTTTGGAGACAATTATTTGGGGACAATTATTTTGGGGACAATTATTTGGGGACAATTATTTGGGGACAATTATTTTGGGGACAATTATTTGGGGACAATTATTTTGGGGACAATTATTTGGGGACAATTATTTGGGGACAATTATTTGGGGACAATTATTTGGGGACAATTATTTTGGGGACAATTATTTGGGGACAATTATTTGGGGACAATTCTTTTGAGGACAATTATTTGGGGACAATTATTTGGGGACAATTATTTTGGGGACAATTATTTGGGGACAATTATTTGGGGACAATTATTTGGGGACAATTATTTGGGGACAATTATTTTGGGGACAATTATTTGGGGACAATTATTTTGGGGACAATTATTTGGGGACAATTATTTTGGGGACAATTATTTGGGGACAATTATTTGGGGACAATTATTTGGGGACAATTATTTGGGGACAATTATTTGGGGACAATTATTTTGGGGACAATTATTTGGGGACAATTATTTGGGGACAATTATTTTGGGGACAATTATTTTGGGGACAATTATTTGGGGACAATTATTTGGGGACAATTATTTTGGGGACAATTATTTGGGGACAATTATTTTGGGGACAATTATTTGGGGACAATTATTTGGGGACAATTATTTTGAGGACAATTATTTGGGGACAATTATTTGGGGACAATTATTTGGGGACAATTATTTTGGGGACAATTATTTGGGGACAATTATTTTGGGGACAATTATTTGGGGACAATTATTTTGGGGACAATTATTTGGGGACAATTATTTTGGGGACAATTATTTGGGGACAATTATTTGGGGACAATTATTTTGGGGACAATTATTTGGGGACAATTATTTTGGGGACAATTATTTGGGGACAATTATTTGGGGACAATTATTTGGGGACAATTATTTTGGGGACAATTATTTGGGGACAATTATTTTGGGGACAATTATTTGGGGACAGTTATTTTGAGGACAATTATTTGGGGACAATTATTTGGGGACAATTATTTTGGGGACAATTATTTGGGGACAATTATTTGGGGACAATTATTTGGGGACAATTATTTTGGGGACAATTATTTGGGGACAATTATTTTGGGGACAATTATTTGGGGACAATTATTTTGGGGACAATTATTTGGGGACAATTATTTGGGGACAATTATTTGGGGACAATTATTTGGGGACAATTATTTGGGGACAATTATTTTGGGGACAATTATTTGGGGACAATTATTTTGGGGACAATTATTTGGGGACAATTATTTTGGGGACAATTATTTGGGGACAATTATTTTGGGGACAATTATTTGGGGACAATTATTTGGGGACAATTATTTTGGGGACAATTATTTGGGGACAATTATTTGGGGACAATTATTTGGGGACAATTATTTGGGGACAATTATTTTGGGGACAATTATTTGGGGACAATTATTTGGGGACAATTATTTGGGGACAATTATTTTGGGGACAATTATTTGGGGACAATTATTTGGGGACAATTTTTTGGGGACAATTATTTGGGGACAATTATTTGGGGACAATTATTTGGGGACAATTATTTGGGGACAATTATTTTGGGGACAATTATTTGGGGACAATTATTTGGGGACAATTATTTGGGGACAATTATTTTGGGGACAATTATTTGGGGACAATTATTTTGGGGACAATTATTTGGGGACAATTATTTTGGGGACAATTATTTGGGGACAATTATTTGGGGACAATTATTTGGGGACAATTATTTGGGGACAATTATTTTGGGGACAATTATTTGGGGACAATTATTTGGGGACAATTATTTGGGGACAATTATTTTGGGGACAATTATTTGGGGACAATTATTTGGGGACAATTATTTGGGGACAATTATTTTGGGGACAATTATTTGGGGACAATTATTTGGGGACAATTATTTGGGGACAATTATTTTGGGGACAATTATTTGGGGACAATTATTTTGGGGACAATTATTTGGGGACAATTATTTGGGGACAATTATTTGGGGACAATTATTTGGGGACAATTATTTTGGGGACAATTATTTGGGGACAATTATTTGGGGACAATTATTTGGGGACAATTATTTTGGGGACAATTATTTTGGGACAATTATTTGGGGACAATTATTTGGGGACAATTATTTTGGGGACAATTATTTGGGGACAATTATTTGGGGACAATTATTTTGAGGACAATTATTTGGGGACAATTATTTGGGGACAATTATTTTGGGGACAATTATTTTGGGACAATTATTTGGGGACAATTATTTGGGGACAATTATTTTGGGGACAATTATTTGGGGACAATTATTTTGGGGACAATTATTTGGGGACAATTATTTTGGGGACAATTATTTGGGGACAATTATTTGGGGACAATTATTTGGGGACAATTATTTTGGGGACAATTATTTGGAGACAATTATTTGGGGACAATTATTTGGGGACAATTATTTGGGGACAATTATTTTGGGGACAATTATTTGGGGACAATTATTTGGGGACAATTA